ATGACCTAAATATGCCACTTCTGTTCGTAAAAATTCTGATTTATCTAGTTGTATTTTTAAATTAGATTTTCTTAGTCTTTCAAAAATTGATTTCAGTCTTGTAACATGTTCTTGCAATGATGAGGAAAAAACAATTATATCATCTAAATATATATAGCAAATTTCATTCTGGTATCCTCTTAATACATTATTCATAACTTTTTGAAAAGTAGCTGGGGCATTTTTCAATCCAAACGGCATACGTAAAAATTCATAATGTCCTGTCTCCGTGGAAAATGCTGTTTTTGGTACATCGGCTGGTTCCATTTCTATCTGATGGAAACCATTTGCTAAATCTAACGTAGTAAAATATTGAGCTCTTCCTAGACCATCTAGAATGTTATCTATTAATGGCAAGGGAAATTTATTTTCTATGGTATTTTCATTTAATTTGCGATAATCTATTACTATTCTATATTTCTTTTGGTTACTTGCATCCATTTTCTTCTCTATTACCCAGATAGGTGAATTAAAAGGCGAATTTGAGTCTTGTATTATTCCATTTTTTAACATATCATTTATTTGTCTACTAACTTCTTTTTTATAAACTTCCGGATATCTATAATTCCTTGTGTAAACCGGAGTATCATTAACTAAATCTATTTTATGCTTTATTTCATTCGTAAAACTAAGGGGCGTTCCGTCTATATAAAAAATATCTCTATATTCATAACATAATTTACTTATGGCTTCGTATTCTTCTTCGTTACAATGATTAAGTCTAAGTTTCTTGAGATTTTCTTTTTGTAGATAATCTATTTCTTCTTCTTCTATGTCCATCTCCTCAATATGATATGACTGAATATTATTTAAATTTTCTTCTTGAATATATTCTACATTAAAAGGTTCCGTAAATTTAATTTCCGCTGGAGTTTCTCCTAGGTTACTTATCATAGTAAAAGCGTTGTGATCATTGATATCAATTAAACATGAAGGAATTTCTGCATTTCCGATTTTTGTATAATTTAGTATCGCTGTACCAGATCTTCTGTTAACTGGGACTTTAACTTTTTGAGCAGTTCTTGGTGGTATTATTATTTTACTTGGTTTAAAATATTTTTGTTTCGTTGGGTCTTGTGATGCAAAAAATATGGGAAGAGAAATGGTTGGGGTCTTTAGTTTTGAATCTTTAAAATCAATAATAGCATTGATTTGTGATAAAAAGTTGCATCCTAGCGAACCATCAAAATTAGGAGAGAAATCGAAAAGATAAAATTTATGACAATTTGGATTTCTGAAACTAGGGAATATTGGAATGGTCATAGTTTCATCATGAATTGAAGTAGCGTGTGCAGTATGCACAGCAAATTGCTCAGGAATTATATATTTCGAAAAAAGTTCTTTTGCGAGGTCAGGTCTAAAAAAGCTTTGTTCTGATCCCGTATCTATTAAAAATGTAGCATTAATTTCTGGAATTATTATTTTAGGTAATTTATCATATTGTTTAATCGCATTAAAATTTATGTGGCTGTACTTGTTGAGGCTTGGACTGGAAAATTTTCATCATTATATATTCTTTCATTTTCATTATATCTTCTTGAATTATTATTAATATATATTCTTTCATTATCATTATATCTTTCTTCTCTTACATTATTACTCGTTATTTTATGATTAAATAAATTATTTGGAGAACGTCTATCATTTCTAAAGTTACTTCGTAAACTAAAGTTATTGGAACTTGTATCCATTGGCTCAGGTCGCATTGAATTTCTGCTTTGACTTTGGGTAGGAATAGATGGCTGATATCTAGGTATATTTGGAAATTGTCTTGGAAATTGGTTACTATTATTATTATTATTAAAACGATTGTTCGAAAAACTTGGACGATTTTGAAAATTATTATTTGGATTTCGGAAAAAATTATTATTTCTGTATTGACTAGAACTTTGGGAAGAATGTCGATTTTGAAAATTATTATAATTAGAAAAATTCTGATTTCGAGAAAAATTTCTATTTGGAAATGAAGAGTGTTGGGAATTAATATTTGAATTTCTATTAGAATTATTATAGGATCGAGAATTATTAAAATTTGAGGGTCTCGTATTATTACTTCGATTTTTGAAAGAGATAAAATTTTCTTCTTCTTTAGCGAAAGCCATTGCTTGCTCTATGGAATCAGGATTCTTTAATCTGACTACTAACTGCATGTGATAATTAAGGCCATTTATAAAAGTTTTAAGACAAAGATCTTCATATTGTTGAATTTTTAATATTTTTACATTTAATTGGTCATTAGACATATTAATTTTTGAACAAAGAATGCTTCTAGCATCTTGGATTCTTAAACCAAAATTTTGTGCATTTTCATTTCTTTCTGGTTTCATTGAAATAATATCTTGTACTAAACAATCAATTGATCTCTGATCAGAAAATGTTACTATAAGAGAATCTTTAACTTTTGCCCAAGAATCAAGTTCTGTTCTTGATGCAATAAGGTCTGCTGCTCTGTCAGTTAATTTACTTAAAACAGTATCAAATAGACAAACATTTATAGGATTATTTGCATCTCTATTACTATGATTATTTAAGAAATTTTCACATGATTTAATAAATCTATTTAATTGTTTCGGATTGCCATCAAAATTAGGAATATTATCAGCTTGATATTTAATTAATTGAAAATTAGGTTGAGTCATTTCGTTAAATGTTAAGTTTACTAAATTATCTAAAATATCCTCCACTGTGAATCAAAAAATATATAATATATAGGTAAAAATATGGATATTGGTAAAATAGGAAACACTTACATGAATATTTTCATTTTCTATAGACTTCAGACTATGTTTGTTCCTCCGTCTGCACCAATAGGATTCTGGACGATGCTTGTTCCTTCTCCCTGGTCTTGGCTTCTCCAATAGGTTGTGGACAATGCTTGTTCCTCACCCTGGACGTTTGGCTGTTACCGTACCCGAAAGCTGGATCTTTTCGTTAATCTTTAAAAAGAAAAATTGTACGCGAAATTCGGCAAGGCTAACACGAACACTTGTACAACTTCGAAAAATCCGAATGACTGCGACAGTTACGAATGTCACAACCGAAAACGGATTTTTAAAAAATTTTATTTTCGTAACAAAATTTATTTTTGAGAACGTACAGGTATGGTAACAACTACAAAACAAAAAGCTCTTAATCTAATTAAACACTGGTATATATAGTCTTTCTATATGTCGTCACATATTGGATAATCCAGGGACGTAACTCGGAATGCATTATGATAATATTTTTTAATTTAATTCAATTAAGAGATAACATAAACAAGTCTAGAATTTGTTATAAATTTTTTTTTAATTTAAAAATTTGTAGATTGTTGTTGTTTTTGCAAGAATACTTTATGGTTGACAACATAGTAATCCCATTATATATTCAAAAAATGATAGTAAAATTACTTAGATAAGTAAGATACAATTTTAAAGTAAAAAAAATTTTCACTCGAGAAAAATAAATCAGATTTATTGAAGACCGATCCTTTTGGAAAAAAGTTGTACAAAGTTGTACGGGGTTGTAGAGCTACATAACGATGTAGTGGTAATGGATTTTAACAGAGCTATGAGTCATGCCGATGCAGTCCACAAGTTTACCTGTTATTTACAAGGTCATAGTTCTTGTCAAAATCTATTACCTATAATAGATATTTTATTGCTATTAATAATATAGAAAGTATTTCTGTAAGTCAAATATAAATATAAACAAAGTAAATATAAATAAAGAAATCAATAATCAAATATATATGTTACATTTTAAACTTGCGTATAAATAATAGTAAATTTTATTTGCTTTCTTTTCTTTATTAAGAATCTACTGCTGAATTGTCCGAAAGATATAAATAAGCATTGAGAACTTGACATAATAAAACAGCGATCAAAATCATATTCATTTTTACTCCAAATTAAAGCGTTTATTTAGGGTATTAAGGTTTATTATAAACAAGCAAGTAAAGCGACGGGTTCTCTTAATGACACAATCTGGAAGAACAAACAACTAAGACATGACACAAAAACAAGAATCTATAAAGCAGCAATTAGTCCTATAACATACACGGCGAAGATAAGACCTGACACATCTAAAACGAGACTGCTAGAAACAACAGAGATGTAAATACTCCACGAATATTGGGGAGAAGTCTATTGGGAGATAGGGAGAGAAGCGAAAACATAAGAAGAGCATGCTTCTTGTAGAGACACAGGAGTGGAACGAACATATCAGTAGAATGGCAGAGGATAATACGAATAGCACGAGAGAAGTCACCAAATGGACGAAGAAGTATTGGTAGACCAAGAAAAAAATGGTGCGACAACCAGAGTTCGAATGTTTGGATTCTTTTTTGTGTTGCTTCTGTCATTGTCCAGGCTTCAACACCATAGAGCCAGGTGAAGAAAACATAGCACTTAAGTATTCTAGTTCTCAATGATATACCCAGCTGGCGGTTGCATAGAACTTTAGACAAAATGTACATCAATTAATTTAAGTGCTAAAAACCTGTATAAATACATTTTATTTACATGACAAGCCACGCTGCGGTACGGAATGCCGCTATTGAACAACTTCCACTTCAATGGTCAATATCACACTGATACAACACTTTAGGAAATGCGACATCAGCAGGTAATATTTTAAATATAGTCAGGTGCACATATCTAAATAGACAGTAGCGTATGCAAAAGAATATTGGTAACAATTATTAAAATATTAAAATTGCGGCACGGAAGGTTTAAGTAGAACCACGGTGAAAAAAATTAAATATCTTGGTTTATGTGACAGGCAGAAGCTTAATTGTTTTTTAAATTGTGGTAGCTCAAAAACTGATAAGATCTGTGCTATTGAGGTACTATAGTACTGGGGTACTTAAGAAATCGCTAATCTATGGAACCAATATATATATATATATATATATATATATATATATATATATATATATATATATATAGGGCCTTAAATAGATAATCTTTTTTCCTTAATTTTTATTGCATATTAAAAAAATTTATAAGAACTTACATTTTGGAAATCTCTACTTATTTATGACAAAACAAAATAACCTTATACCCTTAACCCCGTTGTCAAACAAAAATTTAAATAGTCTAAAAAGAGCTTCACTGGCAAAATTTTGGGAAGATTCTGGTGTATCTTTGCATACATTTTATTATAAAAGTTTTCCTTGTAGTCTGCAAATACTTGTTCCAGGCGAAGCTCTTTGAAAAGTTCGTAACATTTGCGGATAGACTCTTCATTATTTTTACCAAAATGTTCTTCCAGTATTTTCTTTTGAGCTAAATTTCCCATTTTGTATGCTTGTACTGGCACCCAAGAAGGTCTACCTTCGGCAATATCAGTACAAGTTTTTTGTTCGTCAGACATTGGATTAAAGACTCCATTGAAATCATCCTAAAAGAAGAAAAAAGCAATTATTTTTTAGGATATTACACATAACGTGAATATGACAGATATATTTCTAAAAGGTAAATTAGGGTAAATATATATATATATATATATATATATATATATATATATATATATATATATATATATATATATATATAAATATTATATATACATCTCTCTAAGATGTCTTGCGCTCATCGCTTTGTTACTCCCTCTCTCCAAGACTCCTTGGGTCTTCCTCTCTTTCTGCGGTTTGGTGGTACCCATTGCATAATTATGTTTGGGAGTCTTAAGTTATCCATCCTCTGGACGTGTCCGTACCATATCAGCTGTTTTATTTCTATGTCCTGTATTAGATACCCGTCAACCCCCATTCGCTGTCTTATCTTATCATTACGTATTTTCTCTCTGCGTGACAATCCTACTGATCTTCTAAAAGCGTCCATTTCTACTGCCTCCAGTTTTCTTCTGTTGTTTTCGTTTAGTCGCCAAGTTTCTGCTCCGTACAATCGACTGCTTTTAATAAGATTCGTAGATATTGTGTTTTCTTCTTTTTCATTTTTTATGACTCCACAGTACGCTGTTTAGATAACCTATTGTTTTTCTGGATTATGTTATTCTTCTCTTTATTTCTTTATCCTCTTTTCCCGTTGTGTCAAAAACGATTCCTAGGTATGTGTAATGGTCGGATGGCATGATAATTTCGTTATTTTCTAATGTGATGCTCGATAGCTCGGTACCTATTGGCAGGTATTTTGTTTTTTATATATTAATTTCTAGTCAACACTGTCTTTATTTTTCTTGTAATTTCCTTACCATATACTCCAGATCATCTTTATCGGTTGCTATAGCAACCTGGTCATCAGGAAACTGTAATGTATATAAGCAAATCTCTCCAAGGTATACGCCCATGCCTCGGAATTTTCGTTTCCACTCTTTTAATGCTTTTGTAACATATATTTTTAACAAGGTCGGTGATACACAACACCCCTGACGTAGACCATTATTAATCAGGAAGCTTTGCGATAGTCTGTTTCCAGTTTTTATTTGTGATGTTGACCCTTCATACAAATTTCTTAAGGCTTTTATTAAGGTGACACTAATATTCGTGTGTCGTAACACGTTAAACAGTGTGTTTACAGGAACTGTATCGTACGCCTTCTGCAAGTCAATAAACATGAGGTGGGTTTCTTAATTTGTGCTTAATTTTTTTTCTATTAGTTAATTGAGGCAGAAGATATTATCATTACAGCTTCTTCCTGTTCGAAAACTGAATTGTTCTTCTTCCTCTTGGTCTTTGTGTTTCTTCTCAATGCGGTCTCTAATTATTCGTCCATACACATGACTGCATATACTAGTGACTGATATCCCTTTATAGTTTTCACATTTAAGCTTATCTCCTTTCTTATGGATCGACGAAATATAAGCAATTTTCCACTCGTTGGGTACGGGAGAACCATTTATAAATTGATTTATGCACCAAGTGACGGTTTCAAACAATTTTTGTAATGCACATTTTATTAGTTCGGCTGGGATATCCCCTAGTCCTAGAGACCTACCGTTTTCAGTTCTTTTATAGCTTTTCTAATTTCTGTCACTTGTATTGGCATAAATATCTAAATAATTGTAATATCATTGTATGGAGATAAGCGGTTATCTCTCCCAACGCGTAGTATGGCACCTTATGGATGACCCTACGGAGGTGTGCTAGACTAAAATTCCAGAACAAAATAATGATAAACGTTTTGGGTGCTCCATGGTATGTGGCTTCAAGAGTGACATTCATAAGGACCTAGGAATGAAAACTAAATCATCAAGAAGACGGCAGAAAGTCAGGAGTAACGACTTCATAGGCACAAGAATTAAGGCAATGCAGCTCCTCGAAACTACTCGGCAACCTAGAAGATTGAAGAGAACAAAGCCTTTTGAACTAGTTTAAATAATAGCGAAACGCAGAGCATGGTGCTGTGCACGTGTACATGTTAGAATAGTGCATTTTATTAGTTTAGATAAGAAACGCGTTTGGATAAGCTCTTAATTTTAAAGACAGTAGTAATTTGTGTATAATATAAATTACCCATTGGTCATTTATGATCAGATGAAAAATGTGTACGGAATCCTAGTTCAATCCCTAACTGTAAAACAAGAAATAAAAGCTAGGAAAAACTTTTAATGGGCACAGAAACCATACAGAGCGTTGAAACAAAGATCTGGATGTGTCTGTGGATTTTGAGAGGAAAAATTTCTATTTATTGGTAATTCTTAATAGAGACCAAAAAGATAGGAAAGACATGGCTCATAGCCTCTTTTAAGAAAAGCAGAAAATAGAACAGACAAACTTGCAATGGTTCTTTATCAGTGGAGTTGGCACTAGAACAAGAAGAAAGTAAAACATTAAAGTAACAAGTTAAAATACTGAATTATGGGAAAACGTCTGAAAGGAAAGAGCCATACATTGGAGCCACATGAATTTATGTTGTCCTGGAGGTATTTTCATGTGGGATCTTAATGAAATTTACTATTTTTACTGAAAATAAACAAGAATTCTACTTTAAAATATTTTTATTGTGGTGGTTCCACACGAACTAACGAAAAACTATTTCCTGTTTTCCGAATATAACCTTTTGGAATTGTTTGTTTTGAGACGGTTGTCAGTTTAACCACAAATCGTTGGTTATTTGCAACATGGAATGATAGTCTGTTCGAAACGGGTAAGCGGTTCGAGTCAGGTAAATTTAAAAACATGAACAAAACTTTTTATTACTCTGGTAATAATGATTCGGTTCATTATAGTCACGATGAAGTTATTTTAGAAGACAAATACAATAATACTGTTAAAACCTTTGTGCTATTTTCTGACTGATGCCTTCTTCTTCTTCTTCGTCTATCCATTCACATCCACATCTGAACATAAGCCTCTTCAAGTCTTTCTTTCCATTTCCTTCCTAAGTTTAATCTTAGGTGACTTTAACGCTTAAGTAAGTTGGGTAGGGGAAAGGTTTATGGATTGATTGGAGACTTTGTACTTGGGGTAAGGAATGTCAGGGGAAAGGGAATCATCAAATTCTGCCAACAACACAACATGTAGCGACAAATACATGTTTTAAACTACATTTACCCTAATCATATACTTTGTAACGATAATATTTTGCCTACCACAGGGGGCATTAATACAGGGGATAGAAAATTGGGAGAAGAAACTATTGGGGGTGGAGATAAGGCAAGCAAAATAAACGCTACTTATGCGAACGGCACTCAGGGTTTCGTAGGAGAGCTGGGGTCATGGATAAGTAAAAGATAAGGGCATTGGAATGGGGCAACTACAAAAAAAATGAAATAAAGGGCTCTTGGGATAAACAAAATAAAAATAAACAAGAAACACCCCAAGGAATTTAATATAGGGCGCCACTTGAGGTGGTTAATTATACCTATTACAACCACTGGTTGTAACTAGGAAATAATTATACAACAACAACAACATATCTTTTTAAAAAAAAAATCAAAAAAGGGTTAGCTCAAAAAAATAGACAAAATGTTAAGACAACAAAATTTAACCTTTATTTATGTGTCACCACAAACAGTTACAAAATGGAGAAATACAAAATACAAAAGCTTACGTGTCATCCGCTTACAAACTCCAGGAGTTGGAGATACTACATAAAACTACAAATTTATATGGAGGTTAACCTTGTTTAAAAATAAAACAAACTAATAACCAAAAAAGTAATAAAAAACGAGCTGTCATAAGTTAACATTAAATTTGAAAAAAAAAATAAACACACAAATTGACAGCTCAACTCGAAATCTAAAATTTACAATTTTAAATGTCAACGAAAGCAATTATTTATTTCAAAACAAATTGTCTGTCTTTACTTTAAAATTTGATCAAAAAGTTACCTGGATTTTCACTAACAAAATGCACTAGAATTTGAGGAACTAGACGCCACTGAAATATCCGAAACCATAACTGGAACTGAGGGCTTTACTCTCTGTGTATTGAACACAACTATCTATCTCCATATCTTCATATCTCGAACAAATCTATCTTCATACTGCCAAAAGCCTTGGATGATAACCAGGGAGAAACAAAACGAGGATGAAATCGACGATTCTTCCATTCCTCACTCAAACATTTACTGAACCATTAACTTCACACTGCTACACATTTTCTTCATAAAAAAAAACGAACAATCGTCTTCATGAAAAAACACAAACAACGAGGAACATTTCGAATTTGAAGTCAAATTCGGACATAACGTTGACCGCTTTTCACCGCAGCTCCAACGATAGTGACGAAATTCTATTAAAATTGAACGCATACATACAAACGCTGACATAACAAGACACCACGAGACGACGTACATATCCTTTTGCGACGCATAAACTTGAAAAGAAATTGCCGACTCTCAAATGGTTTTATTACTCGGCGACGAAACACTTTTGGGTACTTTGAAAGATACGAACTAACAACACGGAAAAATTCTTCGTTTAATTTTTTTAAAAATATATAAGGAGTTTTTAATATATTTTTTTATACGAGGAGGTTTCAATATACTCAAAAGAATCAATGAAATTGAAAATGCTACAACTTGGACGTTACAACATAATAAAAATAGCGTAATTTGTAATCAAATAGCTTATATATGGGTCAACAATTCCGATCATATGTCTGTATTTGGGAAAGTGCGCGCGAGATAGAAACTAATCATTGAACAAAAACTACTAAAAAACTTATTACACCAGATTACTTATTACGTATTAAAACCAAAACACCAGAATTAGGATCGTAGGTTCTACGCCCAGAGAAGTGAAAATTAGGAGAGTAGTTAGGCAAGGATGTATTTTGTTATACCTTATCTTTAAACTTTATTTTGAGTTTCTGTTTATAGAGGCATTGGGAGATTCCAAGGATGGAGACAAGGCGAATGGCGTAGATATCAACAGCATCCTATATGCCTATGATACGCTGTTGATTGCGCATTACGATTTGTCCACAACCACTATAGTCCTTTTCTATCATATTGATAGCACATTATGTATGCAAATTCTCAACAGGTCAAAAAACCATAGGCGTCACCCTATACTTGTTTTGAAATAAATAAAAAAAATTATAATTTTAAGATGCCGTCAACAATGTATTATCTTTTAAAAAATCTTGTGTAAAATAAGTGTCCACTAATCTCACTATACATTTTTTGTGCGTAAAAAACGTCGGTATATATTCCACACGATTATTGTTAATTATACACGGGTTATTAACGAGAGAATTCAATATTTCACGGACTAAATTATTCTAAACAGTAATTGAAAGGTGATTATTGTTTTCTATACAAGTTATCGACTGACACAAAAAGAATACCTTCTTTGAACGATTACCTGCAATTACTGATAAGGCTTCACTAATGATAGTTTAAGTAGTTTTTATGCCACATTACAGCTTATGCCACTAATATAAATTAGAAATTGTTTGCATCTTTCGTTTAGTTTGTAGATGTACATTGTTCATGTCTTACCTACCTACGTCTTTGGTGTCGATATTTTGTTATTTGCATTTAAAAATGACGTCGACAACAGGTTTTATCCCGGTTAAGTGTAGTTTTAAAGGTGTCTTCAGTCTAAGAGAAAAAAATATAATATTAAATGTACACGATGCACTTGTACATCAACGCCCTTTAACTAATGTTCGTGAAATCGTTAACATGTGTTCAAATATGACAGGGGTTGGAGAAGCAACAATTTATAGATTCCTAAAAGAAAGAAAAGGAGGAACTGTTTCATCTCTCAAGAAGAGTGGTTGGAGTAAACCCTTGGAAATTGAAGAAATATATAAAAACATGATAAGACACTCATTTTTTTTTAACAAAGAATTTCCAAAATTGGACAAAATCCAAACATTAATTAGAGAAAACGAAGATTAACCAAACATAAGCAACTAGAAATTATGGGGACTATTAAGAGAGATGGGATTTCGTTGGCAAAAGAAGAGAAGAAAATCGGTTTTAATTGAAAAAGATTACATTGTATGTCGGAGAAGACATTATCTAAGAACTAGTAAAAAGTACCGAGAAGAAGGGAAAACAATTTTTTATTTGGACAAGACTTGGCTAAATGAAGGTCATACTGTACCATATCTATGGGTTGATACAAATGTGAAAAGTTCCCGTCAGGCATTCATCGAAGGTGTATCATCTACTGGAATAAACAATATTCTTGTTGGAAAAGGACGCAGACTCATAATAACCCATATTGGAAATGAATAGGGTTTTGTCAATGGTGGATTATTAAGTTTTGCTTCAAAATCAACCAAAGATTACCACGAGGAAATGACTGCTGACGTTTTTAAAGAATATTTTAAGTAAATGTTGGTTTTAATTCCAAAAAATTCTGTCATAGTCATGGATAATGCTAGTTTCCATTCAAGACTAGCAGAAAAATTGCCAATAACGGCATGGAAAAAAGGAGAGATAATCGAATGGTTGGATAAACACGCAATTGAGTACAAAGAGAATTCGACAAAAAAGGAATTATTACCTATTGTAAGGCAACATAAAGTAGCTTATAAAAAATATATAATTGATGAAATGGCATTAAACCGTGATGTAATTATTTTACGTTTACTCCCCATAGCACTGTGATCTGAATCCGATAGAAAACATATGGTGTCAAGTAAATGGTGAAGTCGGACGCAACAACAAAACTTTTAAATTAGAAGACTTACAACAATTATTAGAACATTCCTTATCAAAAGTAACTTCAGAAAATTGGAAAAATGCTGTTAGCCATGCTCACAAGGAAGAAAATAAAATGTGGAATTTGGATAATATGACTGATGCAATGCTGGAACCGGTAATAATTAACATTGGAGTTAAAGATTCCTTAGATTCTGAAGAAAGCAGTGAATCTGGAATGAAATTTGATTAAAATATTATTCATTTTTTTACAAATCGGCCCCTGTTACGGCTACAAATTATTTTATATATAACCAATAAAATAAACATCTTACATTTCTTGCAAATTCATTAGTACCTTTTAATCTTTATCACTTCGACACTGGCAACTTTATTTAGGGATTAGTAACCCTCAAAACTATTGTATCCTATTCTGCTTCAACCTTTATAATTGGTGGTCATACTCAATTGAAAATTGTTTTCCTATATACTTCTGTAAACTTGTTGACAAATATCTATTTTTCATTGATTTGTATCAACAGTTTAGGGATTTGCATATATAATGTGCTATTAATATGATGGAAATGGACTATAATCGATAGGACCAACTCGATCTATGAACAATTTTGTACGAAAATAAACATTAAAAATCCCAAAAATGATGTCAATATAAAAAAACCAAAAATTTTACCTTAACCTTGCACAATAAATGGGCACATTTTAGAAAAGGTCATCAACTTTAAGTATCAGGGATATTGGATCGACAGCAGCCCAAATTCGGATCTATAGATAAGATCGAGGATAGAATAGGCAACAAAATCTTTTAAAAATATCAAAAGATGAATCAAAAAAAAAGCTATCGTGCCTAAGAAACATCTGACAATGGACAGGGCTGAATTTTCAACAATTAATAAGATCAGCTAAAGACAGAGAAGAGTTTGCAATTAGTGTAGTAAACAAATTCCGTTGAGTTTACTAGGATGATCTAATTACACTAAAAAATCTGACCAGTATGCCTTCTTTAAGTTGAATCTGGTCGATGCTGGTCGTTTTGGTAATAGGGTCGTACACTCTTTTGATATAGAGATTTTTTGGGCTGTTACTGAAAAAACAAAGGTAAAGATATTTACATTTTATTAAGCAAAAGAACAATGTCCATGAGCATTAGCAAATGCAGGAAAGGTAGAAGCCTGACGTTCACGAGGAATATCCCCAACAAAATGGATCGATCAAATTTCAGGTAGAGAATTATCAAATTTCAGAGAGAGAGGGAGAGAGAGAGAGAGAGAGAGAGAGAGAGAGAGAGAGAGACTATTATTTAAATTTATATTATAAATAAGCAACTGGTAGCAATTTTGGTAAAAGCTAATGATTGTATGTTTAAATAGACTTAATTCTTAAAAATATATTTATATAAATTAACCAATAAAACTAACACCGCTGTAAATATCCTTACCTCAAATTTGAGAAAATATGCTAAGTCTATAGAGAATTCTTCAGTAGCTTTGTGTGCATCTACATCAATATTAGCTAAATATAAAGCTTTTCGAAGAACTGGCATAGCTAATGCAACTCCTTTAGCAGAATATGTATGTTTTTCGAGGTCTTCAATTCTGTGCTGGGTTATATCGATCCGTTCAGAGACGTTACAGACGGAGAAAATGGTCAAAATTTGTTTCATGATATTTGGAAAGTACTTGTGAGTGGATAAATGTTTTAATAAAAGAAACCACATTGAGGATGATAAAAACGCGGCATCCAAGATAGCTTTGTGCTCTCCAACATCTTCTACTTTGTACCACGCTGGTTTATTGTATCTTAGTTCTGTAACGTCAACTATATCATCTTCAACTATTATAGTTGCATCCATCTAAAAAAAAATAATACTATTTTGGTATTTTTTAAAGTTTTAGAACCTCTAAAAATCATACAAACGAGCTGAATTTTACTGAGAATAATCATTTTGGGACCTTAAAAAAGATTACTAGATTTACCTACGGCTTTCTTCTAAAACCCCCTCGTAGGGGGGTAAAAACGCTATTGACTGGCAACTATAAATTTTCGATAATTAGATCCTAACCTTTAAAACTTATAGCATAAAATTTTAGTGGAATAGGGATCTGACCTTGGTTAAACAAACCACATTTAGGTTATCTCCGATTATATCGTTTAAATCTAATAGATTAAAGTGATCAAAAATAGTTAAAATGTTTACTACAAAAATCTACAGTGCTTTTCATCGATTGGTCTGCAATTGCAGTGAGTAAAATTAATATTCTTAATAATACATAATAACTCCGCCTTCTGTAAGTACTGGGTGAATTGAGTAGCTCAGTAAATGCCGATGCCGGTCCCAAGCCCGGATAAAGGAGGAGGGTTGAGGCGATGGGCTAGCAACTCGTCCCTTGTCAAAAGAAATTAATGCTAAAAATTTCGACCAAAAGCCTCGGAATACAAAGGATGAATCAACACAAAGACGACTAATGCAACGAAAAAGGAAAATGATATTGGCTACATGGAATATACAAGGACTGAGAACCAAACAATCAGAAGTATTCAAAGAATTAGCGGAAAGCAAAATAGATATATGTGTTCTCACAGAAACCAAGAAAAAGGGAAAAGGAAATGAAGAAATAGGAGAATATATACGTATCTACAGCGGAGTGAGTAAAGATAACAGAGCTAAGAGGGGAGTCTCTATTGCCATTCGAAAAAATCTTAAAAACAACATTAAATCGTGGACTGAAGTAAATGAACAACTACTAATACTGGAAATGAAAAAGAATGGGCACAATATCGTAATTGTCGAAGTATATGCCCCAAACGAAGATGCAAATCCAGAAAGTAAAGACGATTTCTACGACAATATGAATGAAATACTCTCTGAAGTTAAAGAAAACTGTGAAATCTTTATACTAGGAGATTTAAACGGCAGAGTAGGGAAAGAAGAAAATAGCAGAGTCGTAGGAAGATATGGAGAACAAATAACCAATGACAACGGAATGCGTCTTAGAGATTTTTGTGAAATAATGTCTCTCAAAATTATGAATGGATTTTTTTAACATAGAGACATCTACAAATTTACATGGATACAAACTACTAGGAATCTGCGCTCGATAATCGACTTTGTAATCCAACTTCAAACTTCCCAGCTGAAAACAACTGACGTAAGGGTATACCGTGGATCAGAACGTGGATCCGACCATCATTTACTTATGGCCAATGTGATAGTTAACTATCGCAAAAACAATAACACTCAGGTACAGAATATAGAAAAGGGACAAAAAGTAACATCTCCTAAATATAACCTAGAAAGCTTAAAAGAAGATTCAACAAAATTTCTTTACAAATTACGACTGGCCACAAAATTACAAAATGTGGATCGAGAAAATATAACAGCGGAAGAATTATACCAACAACTTAAAAAGTACATTCATGAGGCTGCAAGTGAAGCTTTGGGGTATAAAGACAAACATGAAACAAAAAATCAAGAATGGTGGTCGGAGAATATGCAAACGTTAGTAAACAAGAAGAAAACTGCTCCGGAGGGAAGGAAAGGAAAAATATAACTTAAAAGAAATAGATCTGAAACAGTGGAAACAGCATTATGAGGTCTTATTGACAGAGGATGGACGTAAATTCCAAGATATCGAAATGGAAGAAATATCTGAACATACACAAATAATTGAGATAACAACCGGAGAGTTAAGCGATGCCTTAAAAAGATCGAAAAACGGTAAAGCAGCAGGACCTGGAGACATCCCAATTGAGTTGGTAAAGTATGGACCAAAAATGTTACACGAGATGATGGTTAAACTATTTAATAATGCTTAAAAGGACAAAATATCCCTGATGATTGGAATGTTGGATACATCAGCTCAATATACAAAAAAGGGGATAAACGCAATTGCTCTAATTATAGAGGAATAACTGTTACTAGCTCAGTTGGGAGGTTGTACGGTCGAATAATAAAAAAACGAATTAAATCAGAATATGAAGACATAGAGGAACAAAATGGATTTCGGCAGAAAGATCGTGCATTGATAATATATTCGTTCTGCAGCAGGTAATCGAAAAACGGAAGGTAAGGAATCTATCTACCCACCTATCATTTGTAGATTTAGAGAAGGCATATGATACGGTACCTTTGAAAAAACTATTTTATACATTGACGAAAGTAGGTCTCAGTAGAGAGTATGTGGATGCTATCGCAAATATATACAAAAATGCAAGAAGTGTCGTTAAAGAAGGAAACTTTATATCTGAATCATTTCCAATAACCAAGGGGCTTAAACAAGGATGTTGTCTGTCTCCGACCCTGTTTAAAATATATATTCAATCATCGCTAGAGCAGTGGAGAAAACAAGTATCCGGAATGGGAATAGACATAGGCGGTAGTGAATGTCTAACAGCTTTATTTTTCGCAGATGATCAGGTAGTCGTAGCGAATGACGAGGAAGACATGGACTACATGTTTAGAAAACTAAAGAAAGAATATGAAAAATGGGGCCTCAATATAAATATGGCAAAGACAGAGTATCTTAAAATAGGAGATGGTGAAGAAGATCCAGAGTTAGAAATTAGAAACACAAAAACATGCAATGAATATAAATATCTCGGATCTATAATATCTAAAGAAGGCACTACCAAAAGAGACATCGAAAACAGAACACAGCAGGAAAAAAAAGTGGTAAACATTCTAAACTCTCTACTTTGGTCTAAAGATATTAGACAAGAAACGAAGTTGACAATCTATCGAACCTTGGTAGAGCCTATTATGACTTATGGGGCAGAGGTTTGGCAGATAACGCAGAAGGATAGAAAAAGAATAGAAGTAGTAGAAATGGATTTTCTAAGGAGAGCGTGTGGTATATCCAAAAAAGATCACATCAAGAATGAAGATATTAGAAGGAGGACAAATACTGTATATTCCAGTGTAGATAGAATTGAAACGAGACAACTAGTGTGGTATGGTCACGTGAAACGAATGAATGAAGATAGATGGCCAAAGAAAGCTTTAAATTACATACCACAACAAAAAAGAAGAAGGGGAAGGCCTTCAGTTGCCTGGGAAGAAAATGTACGGCACATAATGAGAGATAGAGCCATCAGAAAAGACGAATGGATGGACAGAAAACGATGGCGGTCGAAATGCGAGAAACGGCAGAGGCTGTAGGAACCTCGCTTGTATATATAATAATACATAATACAACATATTCTGAAAGTCAACAAAATTATCACAAAGGCTGTTCCGACAGGTTTCAGAGCGGGTTTTATTTAAAAATCCGCTGATAATACAGAGCCGGATTGGCACGGGTAAAAAATTGACTATGATAAATAAATTTAAAGACAAAAATTATTAACCAAAAATGAATCCAAAAGAAAATAATCCTTCAAAAAACACCACACCGTCTACATACTCAAACATATTTACTTCATTCAAATATCCGGCAAAAGACCAAGCTATTGTACTATCTGCCATAGAAGGAATTAAAATTCATGATTATACGACTGGTTAATGAAAATGATTAATTTTATTGGTCTCACGAAAATTGTAAAAAATGACAAAAGTCGCGCCTTGTTTATTTATTAAAAACTGAGTTTATTCTCGACAAAATACGGAAACTGCATACGACAGATCCACTTTTTACTCTAAAAGGCTCTTAATTGCATCTTTTGTCGATAGGACACTTGCATCAAAAGATGTAGAATTTTCACCGTCGAGCTGATACAAATTTTATTGAACATTGATTTCGCGTGTGTAACTGACATTCACTTACAGTCGCTTTAAGCGTTCTTTCTGACAGAACAGTTCATTCTACACAAAAGTGATAATAAACACTTTTATTTAAAATGATTTAAGCTACATTTTTTATTTGAAATATTTTTTTCTGTGGCGTAAACTCTTTTTAAATCGATTTTTTTTTGCTTTTTTACCCCCCGGGTAGGCGTGTTTTAGGGGTATATGTGGTAAACTTTTTTCATATTTTTTAGTGTCATACAATTAATATTATCAGCAAAATTCAGCTTATTTGTATGTTTTTTTGGGGCCAACTCTCTGACGACTGGGCTATTTGAGGCTATGAGAGCAACAGTCGGCTAACCAATATTTTGTTAATAAATGAGTTATAGATTGCAATCACTTTTAATGACCTAAAGTTTTCAAGCAAAGCCGGTCTAACCAAAATTTGCGTATATTATAACATAAATCTCTCCAGTAAGGTCATTTTGCATTATAGAAAATAACAAAAATTTGAAAATACGAATGGGCTAACCCACGAAGTTGTGGAAAAGACCAAAATTGTTTAATACATAAATACGAAAAAGATTGTAAGTGTGGGCTAACCATCCTCTTTGTAGGATAGATCGGTTTTAACTGCTAATCAAGCGTACGTATCACACAATGTAACCTTCCAGTGAATAGATGTTTGTGTTAAGGAGGAAATTAGACTGTGTAGTGCAGTCCCCTTTTTTAATTGTATCCCCTCTTTGCGCTTGGAGATGCGCTATGTTATACGATATTTTACGAAATAGGCAATTATGACTTACAAAATTCTTTTTTTTTGTTCCCGTATCAAAGTTTCACATTAATCTCGAACCTACACCAAGTCAGTTGAGTTGAGACGGAAGATGTCAAGAGAATACTATTTGCTGGATTTAAATGGCACTGAAATTAAATAAGCATTTTTTTCTAAAAACCTTGTAGTTTCTAATAGTAGAGTAGAAAGACTTTTCCAAAAAGATCACAAACTGGAATTACACTCCAGGAGAAAAAAGTACATCAACAAATAAAACAGGTGACGACAAAATACGAGGTTCACATTATACGAGGCACAAAAGTGAACATAGACGTTATTTTGCACCAGATTTGAGTTTAGGAATCCTTTATAACTTTTACAAAGGAGAACATACTAGTAATCCTATCTAAATATACATATTTAATGTATAGTATATATAAAGTATACAAAGTATATATTTCAAGATGTTTTTTGTAGTTAAAAACGATTTGTTTACATGAGCCCACAAATAACTATGTTTTATGGTAGTTGTTAAGAACGAGAGAGGGGTAATATTGTTTGTTTAGATTTTGTAGATCAAAAACTAGCTGCGGCAAAAGGAAGGGAAATTTAAATTGCGTTTACTGAGGGGTCGGAGAAAATATTTGAAACGAGGTAGACGTTTTTGCGGACTAAAAGTAAAACCAGTTCAACCGAAAGATGTATAATGTTGGGGCAATTTTGAATCAAAAAGTCGATTCAATTGTTTTTTTTTTGTGATGTCTTAAGACCAGTCAAAGTGATGATACTCTTTGCAATAGCAGTTTTGACAGAGTAGTCATTAAAGATTTGTATAGATACCGAAAACTTTTGAAAAGTATTGTATAGGATGTCCTTGTCGTCTGCTTTGTTACCCCACCAAACCTGATTTGATCATCTTTCCTGAGTATGGAAATGGTTTCCTGTTTTCCAGTTTGAGAATTTGTCCAAGTAGCTTCCCCAGAGATGTAGAAAGTTTTTTCTTTTAAAAAGTTAAGTGGCGAAATATGTGAAAAATAAGGTAACAATTAATATATTAATTTTTTAAAGTAAAATATACATTTTTAATAATCGCTTTCATTAAAATAAAAGAATTTGTAATAATTAAAGTTTTATGTTATGTTATGAATCGTAGCTAAAAAATGTATATTTTATTCTGATTTAAAATGTTATGTTGACATATGACATTTGCTTAAATTTATTGTTGTTGTAAAACGATTTTAATGTTATTATTATATATAAAAGATATTTCATATATAAGGTTAAATTCTACAATATTTTCATAAAAAGGATATCCATCCAAGTTTTTTGATAATCTAATTTGGCAATATTATAACCTAGGAACCATTTCAAGAATTTTTGTAGCAATCTCTTTTGTAAACAAATAACACGTAAGTTTTTGTTAATTTGTTATATAGTATGCTCTTGTGTAATCTGTATTTTTGAAAACTGTTTGTTTAAGACAAAAATAAACGTTTGATTTGTTTCTCTGTCTCCTAAACCTTGTATGTATTTTTGATTGTAGGGAAGAAGAATTTTTTTCTTCCAGCAGGAAGTTTTCTTCAAAGCGGCGTCCAAATATAAATAGCTAGAGGTAAATTTGTCTGCCATATCTTGTTTGTTTTTGACCCAGGAGATTTATGTAAGTATCTCTTTGTTTTCATTTAGTAGATACCCCAATCCGACCCAAATTGATTTCAACTTATCCACGACCCAGCTCTCCAACAACCCTCTGAGTGCCGTACGCACTAGTTCCGATTATTTTGTTTGCCCAATCTTCTCCTCCATGTTCTTATCCTGAGGTAAGCAAAATATATCGTTACATGCTGCAAACATGAATTAAACAGCTTCCTTAATTTATTAAATAGCCTAACTCCTCCATTTACGATAGCTTCTATTACAATTATGTGTTCTCCTGGGGCTTTGTTATTCTTTATTTTTCTTAATGCTTATGCTTATCGAATCTGATCTTCCTTTATCGCTGGCCTTAGCCCGGTACCTTGATTTACGTGCAGGCGTGTTTGAAAAATGAAGTTTGAATTTGTGTTTCAATAAAAAAAAATAACTACTTTAAAAAGTTCCATACTAAGCTTTGACAAAGACGTAATAACCCAGTGCATGATGTTGCACATCTGCAACATTAGATTTTTAAATTTCTTAATATTGAAGTAACTTAAAAAATGTTTGTTACTTTTTACCAATTAATAAAACGTATATACATGGAGTATATTGTTTTTGGTGCCATGCTTAAAAGGATTACGTACAATTTTTTTAATGGATCTATAAAAAGTAGGTGTACAAAAAAGAAGAAGCTTAACATCTTTTTTTTTATATCTAATAAATAAAAAATTAAGATGTAAAGTGTCCTACCAGCTTATGGCACCATGCAATTACACATGCCTTCTTCAAGTTTTCCTCTGTAAAAAGCTCCGGTTTTTCTAACAACTTATAGGCATAAATTGAAAATATACCCCTTCCAATATATCGCGGTTCCAAATGCATAGTATAATGTAAAAGTTTGGAATATGTTTGCCTCAAATCCGGATATTGCTTGTAATAAACAAGCTGTTGGTTTAGAATGTCATCGTGGACATCGGAAAAGGTCTCATATAACTTTTTCGTTTCAAATGACAAATCAATTGGTTTCACCTGAGTTTTGTATCTAAAACGTAAAAATTTTAATAAAAATATCAATACGAAACATATCAAAAATTTATATGAACAGAATTTAAGCTTTTGTTTTAACAAATTGACCTTAGGGTGAATTAGATATCGGATTTTATTATGACATACCGATATAAACCAGTTTTGTTGTAGCCAGTTAGCCAGGTAGCCAGTTATTGTGTATTGTGTTTGAATTGTACTATGCCATTTTACAAGTTAATTAAGCTTCATTATCTTTGTGAATATCTTGGCTAAAAGCTGAAGGTGGTGATCTTTTCGATTCAACAGCGTATTCAATAATTTCAACAGAGTGTGGTTTAAACAGTGAACTTCTGGCTCTTAGCAGCTTCATTTCTTTTAGTATTTCATGAGATATTAAATCAAGTAGTGTCCATTATACTTGGCTCCACCACTAGTGTCACTTAAGTGACTGTCGTTCTAAGTATAATTAAAGAAAAACGGGCCCCGGGACAAGGAAGAATATCCTGACTTTCCAATTGGAGAGCATCGTACAGAAAGACCTCAACAAAGCTTTTCTGTATAGCAACCAACAAAGTCATCATAGCCAGTATGACCGCCAACGTTTGGAACAGACAGGCACCTAAGACGAAGAACTTTATTAATATGAATGATTATATAATAAACTAGTCCTGATATATGTTTTGCTTATCAAATATATTATTTCTAGAAAAATGAGCTATTAAAGGAAACCAGTTTATCTACTTTAGTTTCTGGAGGTAGAAGAAAGTGATACAGAACAACCTTTTGATGACGAAGAATCTGAGGGGAAGAAGATAATGTCGAGAAGTATTTGTGAGATTTGGTCGCTAAACAAAAACGTTATAGCGATGACCACGAGGTAGAAGTAACATCAGCAAAAGTCTTCTTTTAAGTAATTTAAACTACGTAAAATGAGTTCCCTTGCTTAATATGCTCGAAAGGGGACTTTAACGGTGAATCAATTATTTTAATGAATTTGAATAAACAAGTCTATATCGCTCGAGGTCGCTTATTTATCTGGTTGGTTATTTCACCATTCGGTAAGAGCTTTATGCTCTTGTGGATGTCTTATTTAGAGTAGAAGGCTCAGCTTATGGGCATTCATTTGCTAGCAATGAAGTCTAGTATTCGGCTTTTATTTTTATAAGTTGGCATTCATGTTCTTTATATTACTTTAATGTCATTCTCTGGCGACTGATTGTATGCGGTGTCTAGATGTTTCTTTTTCTTCTTTTTCTTCTTTTTAACTTAATTTAAATACAAAAATTATTATGCTTTCATAATATTTAACTTTTTAACTATTATTTATAATTTTATTAGATATCTAACTTCATCTTTCCTCACTAGAGGTCTCTAGTAGCATACTCTGGTAACTATTTTCCTATAATTGTATTAGTAGTCGGTGCGTTTTGATTTGGTTTGAGTCTTCGTAGAAACTCTCTCTGATGAAGGGTGGACCCAGAAACACGTGTAAGAGAATGGTAAGAGACTCAAATTAAATCGAAACGCAACCGTCATTTATTTTGTTTTTGTCCTTACTCCACGCAATGATTACAAAAATGATAGTAATTTATATTGGTAAATTGTTGATGCATAGTGGAATATAAATATTCTCAGCATCGCTCTGAATGGCTTGATTAAGCTTGAGTATACAGTTTACTTTAATTGCTCTCGATATTTTACTTCATATTTCCTCACTAGATGTCTCTAGTAGCATACTCTGGTAATTATGTTCCTTTAATTGCCTTAGTAGTCGGTGTGTTTTGATTTGGTTTGAGTCTTCTTACAAACTCTCTCGGATGACGAGTAGACCCAGAAACACGTGTATGAGAATAATAAGAGCCTCAAATTAAATCGAAACGCAACCGTCATTTATATTATGATCTCATTGTTTTAAGAGTAATCAGATAAATAAGAGACCCTAAAATAGAATTGAGATATATTTATAAATGAATTTATCCCTAAGATATAATAAATTTTAAACAGCATATTACACCTTAAAAGTTCTTATATACTTACGGATTTTTATCTTTGACTTCAATTTGTGTAGATCGTGAACTAAAATAATAAATGCCGACAGTCCGTTTAGCTGGCCTAAATAGTAAACCTTTTAACATATTGGTTTTAATTGTTGAATAAGTTTTGATGTAAAGATCATCTTATACTAATGTTAATAAATAAGAATTGCAATAATATAATTACATTTATACAATCAATAAAATTGACAGACAAGCAACATTAATTACTATTATTTTTTATTTTTTAACATTTTAATTGCTTTATTGCTTCTAAATTAGGGCACCTATTAATTTTAAGTAAAGATTTTTCGTTATTAAAGTACATAACATTAAAAAAGAATAATTCAAGATAAGCTTTCGTTGATAATTAAAATAAATGATATTCTGATGGACGCAACTTCTTGTTGCGTGTTATCCTTTGGACGACTGCTAAAAGAAGTAATCTCTAGAAATACAGAATAACGTTAGAAAACCCTTAAGGAAGGTTTCTTCATTCTTCGGAGTAGCACGCGCATATAAGACATCAGCGGGTGTGTTACCAGTTATCCTGCTGATAAAGGAAAGAACGAAAATCTACAATAAGAATAAGCAAGAGCAGATAAAAGCTGAAAAAAGAGCATAATGAAGTAAAAGCAAAAATGAAAAAATAAGTATTGGAAGGCCTGGACCTAGGTATTTATACCAAACATCAAAAAATGAATGATATCAAGGATACAAACTACTTTTTTACCCAGCTCCGAAAAGGGCACGATTTCTTCACGGCCTATGTAGAAATAATAGTATAGACTACGGATGGCAATTAAACTGACAATCGACAAACTAATATTACTGACAATCGAGCACTGCATATTCAAGAGCACAAGATTAAATCAGTACAGAAACAAACTATACATGAATGTAGGCAGAGTAAGTGCAAATAGCATATTGGAGCTAGGGATGGGAGGAATGACTGAATACAAGGAAACATTGAAAGAAAGAAAAAGAGGTTTAATTTTTTAAAATAACAAACGTTTTCGGAATAATAATTCCATCATCAGGTTAACAGCAGGTTAGCATTCCTGAGCCACCAAAATACTAGGGTAAAAACTCTTTAAAGTAAATAAAGTTACCAAAGATTGTACATATTGTTGTTAAAAATTAAAGATGTTTGTTATTTTATTATATTTTACTTTAGGTAACATACACTCATGCCTTACGTGAGTACCATCGTCTGGAGGGTAGACCTCTTCAAACGGACTTCAGCTGATAACGGTTAGAGTTACTGTAACTGTAAGACTGTACTCTTTTTGTAATAAATGGTATACAGCCAGCTGCAGGAATTTATTTTCCTTGTGGATATGGAAAGAAAGCTACTCAAGAAGAAAATGTATCACCTTCTCTTATAGGAATAGTCTGATTCTGGACCATTATGTAGTTAACATTCCGTCTATCAAATAACATCTCTTATAATTAATCCTAAACCAACAACGTGGCGTCACCAATGACCGGTGAAAAATGTAATCGCTGTGTACTCACGCGCTTCTGTACATACATCGGTTATATGTTTAGTACCCTTTACTTTAGTGACAACGATCACACAGGCAAGAGGGTACGAGCAAATAATTTGTGAAAGTTGTGAAATCTGAGCGATTTGTCGTATACGATGCCACAAGTTAATTAAATCTAGCCCAAGTACTTTCGCTTAAAATAGCATCTTCAGGGGCATTTCGTCAAAATGTAAACTATCCGGCAAGCGTAGAATGTGGAAACAATAATAGTGACATAAAATTGTACAAAACACTACACTAAAACGAGGACAAACAGTTTAAAATTACTTAAAGATTCTACGCTACATTCTCTGTCAGTATCTGGAGGGATGATTCTCTATTTTATTATTCTATTTTAGTACTTTTCAAGATCCAACTCAGTTTTCTAAATCCTGTCCACGCTAACCTTATTTTTCTGGTAATTTTGGCAGTTTGATTTTCTTTGTTAGCTTTTATTATCTGTTCCAGGCAGATGTATTTACTTACTGTTTCCAAATCGTTCAACGTTAGTTCTTTGTTGTTCGGAGTATTTGTCATTATTTCTGTTTTTTCAATTTTATCTTAAAACGTACTCTTTCCGTAGCTTGAAATAGTTGCGTCATTATGGTTTAGTTCTGGTATGGTTCTTCGAAACATAGCGAATATTACGATGTCATCAGCGTATCTTAAATGACACAGTTTTCTTCAATTAACATTTATTCCTTTATTCCAGTTAATGTCTTTGAATACATTTTTTAGTGCAAGTGTGAAAAGCTTTGGTGAGATAACATCTCCTTAGTGAACTCCTCTGTTAATTGGTATAATTTTGGTTTTCGTATTTTCTACTATCTATTTGTATTTTCATTGTAGCTTTCTTGTAAATATTATGTATAAGCGTTCTGTATGGGGAATCTATCCTGCGGTTGTTTACAGCTCTCACTATTGCCCAAAGTTCTATAGAGTCGAATGCCTATTCATAATCAACGAAGTTAATGTATAAGTTCAAGTGATATTCATAGGCTTTCTCTATTGACGTTCGAAAGGTGCTTTAAAAAAAAACTTTGTTAAGCATTATTTTTGGTTATAGCACAGGCCTTCGACAAGGTCTGGTACGACGAATTGGAACATAAGATAAAAATGACCTTTCCCGTTTAATATTTTAAGATCTTAATTATTATATTTGACACAGAGATACTTCAGGATTAAGCAGGTTTCGTATTCTGAATTAAAGAAAAATAATGCAGGAGTACTCCAAAGAAGTATACTGGGACCCGTCCTATATCCCCTGTACACTAAAGACCTACCAGTTTTAAAACAAAATGTTGTAGTTACGTTTGCAGATGATACGGCAACCATGGCTGTTGATGACAAGGTACTTGAGTCAACAGATTAGTTGCAGAATGTAATTGCCAAAGTGGAGAAGTGGACACACACCGGGACTTGATGGAGTTCCTGCAGAAATGCTAAAGCTATTAGATACAGAACAAATAAAATAATAACTGATATATTTAATGAAATATACAAGGCAGGAAAAATACCAGTAGAGTGGCTCAAATCGGAGTTCGTAACATTGCCCAAAAAACCAGGAGCCAAAGTTTGTGAAGATTATAGGACAACAAGCCTAATTAGCCATCTGCTAAAGCTGTTTTTAAAGGTCATCCACAAAAGAATTTACCGGAAATGCGAGGAACAAATTGCGCCCAATCAGTTTGGATTTGTGAACGCCGTTGGTACGAGGAAAGCTTTATTTAGCGTGCAGATCTTGTTTCAGAAATGTAGAGATGTCAGCTGTAATTTTTTTGTATGCCTGATTGACTACAAGAAGGCCTTCGATAGAGTCAGGCATGAACAAATGATGGAAGTGCTAAAAAGAACAGGGATTAATGGAAGAAACTTAAAAATTATAGCTAATCTGTATTGGAATCAATCAGAGGTACTCCGAATAGATGGAGATTATACAGAACAGGTCAAAATCTTAAGAGGAGTGAGACAGGGGTGCCTAATTTCACCACTGATAATTAATCTGTACTCGGAGCACATTTTTGAAAAGGCCCTAAAAGATATTTATGAAGGCATCTCAATAAATGGAGTCAAGCTTAATAACCTGCGGTATGCAGATGATACAATCGCGTTTTTCAATACCATAGAAGGGCTGCAAAACTTAATGAACAAAATAACAGAAACAAGTAGAACCTATGGACTGGATATAAACACCAGCAAAACAAAGCTAATGATCATCAGCAAGCAAAACATAACTGGAGCAAATCTGTATGTGAACCAAATGAGAATTGAACGTGTCTCACAATACAATTACTTGAGAACTATAATCAATGAGTCGTGGGACAATACCCAAGAGATTAAATGTCGCATTGGAAAGGCCAAAAGTGCATTCTTGGCTATGTTCAAAAGATATGATCTCACCCTGAAAACAAAAACAAGGCTCCTCAAATATTACGTGTACTCAGTGCTTCTGTATGGAATAGAAACGTGGACATTGAAGGCGGAAACTCTATCAAAACTTCAGGCATTTGAAATATGGGTATACAGAAGAATCCTGAAGATACCATGGACAGACAAAGTCACCAATGAAGAAGTACTGCGGAGGATGAACACAACCGCGAATTTGGTCAACATTGTGAAGAGCCGTAAGCTGGAGTACTTGGGACATATAACGAGAAATCAAGGCAAATACGAGCTACTCCAATGCATTTTGCAGAGTAAAATTGAAGGAAAAAGAGCACCTTGACGAAGAAGAATATCCTGGCTTGCTAACCTAAGAGCATGGTATAGAAAGACCTCAAAACAGCTATTTTGTATGGCAACCAACAAAATCATCATATCCAGAATGATCGCCAACGTTCGGAACGGACAGGCACCCTAAGAAAAAGAAGAAGAAGTGGACAAGCAAATGCCGCAATAAATTAAATAAACTAAAATCAACATATATAGATTTTAATACAGCTAAATACCTGAGGATGACAGCTATATACAGCTAAATACATGACACTGGACGCTAAATTACGATAAAAAACACATGTTAAGAAAAGCAAGTCGGATTCGGTATTAGTTATTAAGTCTTATCTTCTTCTTACAGTGCCTTATCCTTAAGGACGTTGGCCATTACATTTGCCCATTTAATCTTATTTGTAGCAGCTCTGAATAGTTCTATGGAGGTCATGTTCGCCAATTCCGTAGATTTTTAAGCCAAGAGTTGCGTCTTCTTCCTGGTCCGCTTTTGCTATTAACTTTACCTTCGATTATAAGTTGGAGCAGCTCATACTTCTGATTTCTTATGATGTGACCAAAATATTGTGTTTTCCGTTCTTTTATTATAAGCATAAGCTCTCTTTCCTTATTCATCCTCCGCAAGACTTCCGCATTTGTCGTATGGCTCATGTAGGATATTCTGAGCATTTTACGGTAACACCAGAGTTCGAATGCTTGGATTCTTTTTTGTGTTGCTTCTGTCATTGTCCAGGCTTCAACACCATAGAGCAAGGTGGAGAAAACATAGCACTTAAGTATTCTAGTTCTCAATGAGATGCCCAGCTGGCGGTTGCATAGAACTTTTTGCATTTTGTAAAACATTGTACATGCCTTTTCCAGGCGTATTCTTATCTTTAGTGAGTGGTCCCAAGTTTCATCAAGATTACTTCCAAGGTAGGTTATTCTTGTTACTCTTTCCAGATCTGTTCCGTCGACATTGACCTTCACCCTTCTGTTTTGGTGCTTGCTGATGACCATCGTTTTTGTCTTCTTTGTATTCACTTTCATGTCGTTACTCGGTTCATTAAGTGTTGCAGGGCTTCAGCATTATCTGTTAGTATGACAGTGTCATCAGCATATCGCAGGTTATTTATAAATTGCCCGTTTATAATTATACCATCCGAGGTGCCTTCCAAAGCTTTCTGAAATATCTTCTCAGAGTAAACATTAAACAGCAAAGGTGATAGGAGCATAGGACACATCTCTTACTTCCTTCTCTATATTGATTTTTCCAGATGTTTCGCTTTTTATTCTGATTTTAGCCTTTTGTTCTTGGTAGAGGTTTGAAAAGTCTTTATCGTCGATATTACATGACCTTAAAATATCTATTAGTTTATCATGTTTCACCAGGTCAAACGCCTTCTGAAAGTCTATAAAACACAAGTATACATCAGAATCGACATCTCTACATCTTTCAACTAGCACACGTATTAAAAAAAGTGCTTCTCTTGTTCCGAACCCATTCTTAAAACCAAACTGAGTTTGACCAGTGTGTTCGTCTAGTTTATTGTATACTCTATTGTGTATTACTCGTAGGAAAAGCTTCAACATATGATTCATCAGGCTAATAATCCTATGGTCTTCACATTTCTTAGAGTTTCTCTTCTTTGGTAGTGGTATAAACACCGATGTCAGCCAATCATTTGGTATTATGTCTGTTTCGTATATTTTGTTAAATATATCTTCCATTACTTCGATGTGTTCGTCTAGTAATATCTTTATTATTTCAGTTGGGATATTATCTTCCCCAACAGCTTTTTCATTCTTTAACTGATTTGCCGCTTTGATAATTTCCTGCTTTGTGATATAAGGTCCAGCCGATGCCTCCTGCATGTAAATGTTCGTCCTCTATCGGTCTTGAAACATCTCTTCCACGTATTCTCTCCATCTACCTATTTGATCTTCTATGTTCAGTAACGGGTTCCCATGTTTATCTTCGATGAAAGACGTAGGAGTTTGTTTAAATTATTGTATTAGTATTGAGTCCTATATTAAACCTTATAAGTATATCATCATTATTATAAACCTGTATGCGCCCACAGCTGGACGTAGGTCTACTTCAGCTCTTCCCATCCGTCTCTGTCTTGTGCGGTTTGCAGTTATTGCTAACACGCTTTAGGTAGTTAGTCCATTTAGTTGGTGGGCGTCCTCTGTTTCTATTGCTTATTTTCTTTGTCTCCACTTGACAATACATTTTGTCCATCGGTTGTCTGATAATCTGGGGATATGACCTGTCCAATTCCATGTGAGGGACGCGATTTTTTTGCTAACGTCTGTTGCTTTTGTTCTACAACGTATTTCTTCGTTTGGGATTTGGTAACTTAGTGAGACACCAAAATCTGGTGCTCCATAGTTTTCTGAGTTATGCTAATCTTATTCACTACCCTTTTTGTGAGTGTTAATGTTTTTGCACCATGAGTACCTACAGATAACACACATTGGTAAAAGATTTTCCTTTTGAGGCATATGGGGAGATCCGATTTAAGTAAATAGTTTAATTTAACAAACGCTACCTAGTCTAACCAGCTGCCAACACTGGTTATCTCTGCCCAACCGAATTTCATGTCCTGGGTACTTATACGATGTAGTCTGCACAATATCCCTTCCATCAACAGCAATATTTCGATTTAGCACCGGACTCCTAAGTCCTTAAACCGGTGTGGACTTACGGTATCTCATTATGAAGATGTACCAGAGCAAACAAGGTAAACGTCTTAAAAAGGTTCCAAAACAAAATACTTAGGGATAGGCATAGGCGATGCTCCCTGGTATGTTCGTAACGATAACCTTTATAAGGTCTTAAATGTACAAACCATCATAAGGTGATAAAGAAACGAGGTAAGGGCAATAAAAACTTAGACAGTACTAACGTGATTAGACGACTTAAACAAACAAAACCACTTGATCTAACAGAGTGACTCTTAAACTAAATTACGAAATGGAACGGTGTTAACTCTACAAGTTAAAGTAATGTACTAAACTAAGATATTAAAAGTAAGAACGCTAAAAAGTGTAACTTGGCATTAACAGATTCTCTTAGTTAAGTTAGGCTAGAACTAAATTGCTTATTAATATTATAGACTAGATATAACTTCAATATATTTTATAATAGACTTCAATTATAGATTGAAGTAGTAAAAAAAGAGGTGGTTGTGTTAAATATTTAATTTTTTTATATATTAGACATATTTAGACATTGATAAATTCACACAATAATTAAGATATTATAAATATATTATTTTATATTATAAGGTTTAGAAGCCAAACGTTATGCTACAGTAGATTACATTTTATATAAAAATATTACATTCTAAAATTCTCCGTCATAGAATAGTTCAAAAAGTCCACAAATAACTCCGTTGGTAATATTTTCGGTACTTCCTTGTGAATCTTCAAAAATGTTTTGTTATAAAATTCTTCCTTGTAATTTAGAAAAACATCTTTTAGTTGTAGGTCATTAAACAACTCGTAACATTTCTGTATAGACTCTTTATCGTTTTTACCATAATTCTCTTCCAGTAGCTTCTTTTGTGCGGATGTTCCTCTGCTGTAAGCTTGTACAGCTAACCAAGATGATTTTCCTTCTGAAATGTCGTTGTGAGTTTCCTTGATACTAGATAACGGATTGAAAACTTCATTAAAATCATTCTACAATAAAACGCTTGTTAGTTATATTTATTTAAAATTTAGAATAATCAATGTCTCACAAAAACTTACCTCGATCTTTAAGTAATTTGCAACGTCTTTAGATATACTTTCAGTAGCCACATGGGCGTCCTTGTCATCAATATTTGCCAAAAACAAAGCTGTTCGTAGTACCGGCAAAACAAAACCATAAGCCTTAGGAGTCAAAACAAAGTTCTCAAGCTCGGTAACCTTCTTTTTTGTTATATCAATCCTTTGCGCTATATTTGTAGTAGCATAAATCAACAAAATTTGCTTCATAATATCCTGAAAATGTCTGTGAGATGATAGATGTTTTATTAAAAGGAACCATATCCCAGTATCTAAGAATGCGCCATCTAAAATAGCTTTGTTAACACCAACTCCCTCTACGTTATACCAGGCAGGTTTGTTGTATCTTCTTTCAGTCGAATCAATTATGTCATCATCAACTGTTAAGCAGGCATCCATCTAAAATGTTTAGCGAATAAGTACACAGACAAGAGTAAACAAATTTTCATAGAATAGAATTTAATATTTGTTATACATATTTTATGAGAATAAAAATTTTTTGACGTGTCGTGACGTGTCAAAAGCTGTATATAATGTACATTGATGTAGCGAAAAATAATTTATTTTATTAAAGAAGTATATCCTTAACGTCACTACAAGGGCGGTTTACTCAGTCGAATGGACTTGTCAATTTACTGTTTGTATTTTGAGAACCATTTCCGAAGTGGAAATTGAAACGTCAATAAACGTATTTTAACCTATAATTGTGGCTTATTCCCAGTGAAATAGTTATGAATTAAAAAAATTTGTTGCAAAACGCTTCATAATATTCTTCTTCTTCTACGGCACTACAGCCCAACAGGTCCACAGGTCCTAGTATTCTCCTCAGTACTTTTCTTTCGAATGTGTCGAGTTTGTTTTTGGATGTTTCTTTCAGGACCCATGCTTCGCTGCCATAACATGCTATTGGCCGAATTAAAGTTTTATAGATTCTCATCTTTGTATTTCGGTGGACACTTTTAGACCGAAATATATGGGAAAGGCCAAAATAAGCTTTGTTTGCCTGCGTTATCCTTTTTCGTATTTCTCCATCCTCTGCTTCATCGGCATGTATTTCTACTCCCAGGTATGTAAACTTTCCAACCGTTTCAATGTCATCTTCATGTATAATGTTTTGTGGGATTATATTTCTTCTCGTCTGTACCATTATTTTTGTTTTTTCTGTGTTAATTTCCAGACCTAGCCTTTTCGTTTGTGTTTTTAACTCTGCGTATGCTTCTGTGCTCCTGTTGATGTTCTACTCATAATATTAATATCATCGGCGTAGGCAGCCAGTTGAACCGTTTTATTGGTCAGTAGGTTTTCTCGTCCAGTTTGCATTTGCCTAACCGCATACTCCAGTGCCAGGTTAAACAATGTTGGTGCCAGTCCATCTCCCTGCTTTAGTCCCTGCGAGATTTTGAAAAAGTCTGTCCGGTTGTTTTGTATTCGTACACATGCCTGAGTTTCATCCATTGTGGCTTTAATGAGTTTAATTAGCTTACGTGGTATTGCTAATTCTGCCCATATATAGTATAGTCTGTCCCTTTTGACTGAATCGTATGCCTGTTTGAAGTCTACAAACACGTTGTGAACATCAATGTCGTGTTCTCACGATTTGTTCAAGACCTGCTTGACTGTAAATATTTGATCCATTGTCGATCTTCCCCGTCTGAAGCCCGTCTGATATTCTCCAATAATATTTTCTGCTAGTGGTTGGAGTCGCTGGTTTATAATATACGTGAGGACTTTATACGCTGTACATAGTAGAGAAATTCCACGGTAGTTTTTGCATTGGAGTTTGTCTCCTTTTTTATAGATTGGGCATACTATACTTTTCTTCCATTCGTCTGGTATTTTCTCTTCTTGCCATATTTCTTTGATAAGCGCGTGGATATGACTTGATAGGTGGTTGCCACCTACCTTATACAGTTCTGCTGGAATCTCGTCAACTCCTGGGGCTTTATTGTTTTTCTGGGTCTTAATAGCTTCGAGAACTTCCTCTATGGTTGGAGCTTCTACTTCAACTTCGTTCTCTTCTACATGGTTTGTACCCATTTCATCTTCCATATCTACTTGTGTTCCAAGTAGGGTCTGAAAATAATGCTTCCAGGTTTCTGTGACTTTCTGTTGGTCACTGATTATTTGCCCACTTTCATCTTTGCATAGGCTTGTTTGAGGTTTATATCCACTTTTTATCTTTTTGAGGTATTCGTAAGCTCCTCTTATTTCGTTTTTATTTGAAATTTTGTTCCATTTCTTCTATTTGTCCATTTTCATAATCTCTCTTTTTGTTTCTGCATATCTTGTCTGCTTTCCGTCTTGCGACTTCAAATGATGTTCGTCTTTCCCGTGTTCTTCTTGTTATGTACATTTTGTGCGCTTCGTTTCTTTCTTCTATCGCTTGCCTGCACTCGTCATCAAACCATGTTCCTCTTCTCTTCTTTTTCTTGTTTCCCACTGTGGACGCTGCTGCTGTCAGCACTGCTGTTTTGATATTATTCCATTTGCTCTCTATGGAGTGCAGTTCTTGTGTCCTTAGCTCATTTGTGACTTCTTGCTCGAACTTCTACTACTACTACATTCCTGAGTCTTCAGTTTTTCCAGGTCTAGTTTGTTTGTTCTTTGTTGTCTTTCGTTTCTTTCTCTGTTAACTCTGCACCTAAATTTGGTTTGCAGTAAAAGATGGTCTGATCCACAGCATGCTCCTCGTCGTGTTCTCACATCAGAGATACTACTGGCTGCCCTTTTGTCTATCATCACATGGTCAATTTGATTGGTTGTGGTTCCATCTGGTGAGATCCACGTCATTTTGTGTATGTCTTTATGTGGGAAGCATGTGGAGCTTATAACCATGTTTTTACTGGTGGCAAAATTTATCAAAAACTCCCCATTCTCGCTTGTTTCATTGTGCAGTGAGTGTTTTCCTGTTGTGCCATAGAACTGCGGTTCCTTGCCTATTTTGGTACTCATATCACCCATTATAACCTTAATGTCATTTTTTGGCTCGTTGTCATATACTATCTCCAGCTGTTGGTAGAGCTAAATAATATTGCTTTAATAAAATTCTCTATTATTTGTTTGTCATACGAACAAGTTTAAATTATCCCTATTGTCGCTTTGAGCTTTGATCTTCTTAAAATTAAATAAAATAGTAATAAAATAAAACATGCTTTACATTTTGTAATATTAATAAAATATCTTACCAATTTATGGCACCACCCAACAACACAGGCCTTCTTTATGTTATCATCTGTAAGTAGTAAAGGCTTCTCCAACATTTTATATGCATACACCGTAAACAAACCTTTTCCGATAAACTGTGGTTGTAACTTCACAGTATAGTTTAAGAAATTGGAGTACGTTGTTTTTAATTCTGGAAATCTCTGATGGTAAGCGAGCTGATCCTCAAGTAAATCCTCTACAATATCAGGAAATGCTGCGTACATTTTGTTGGTTTCAAACGACATATCGACATTTTTTAAATTAGTTTTGAATCTGAAAAATAAGATTAAATTTATTAAAGTGATTTAATTTATCACTATTTGTAATGTTGAATCGAGAACCGCAATGTAGAGTTGCCCACAATCGTTCTATCCTAATATCCCCTCTTAAATTTTTACGGAATTTTGTAGATTATCGACATTTTGTAGTTGTACCGACCTTGCAGTTTACGTTTGAAATTTGATGACGATACTTTAAGGTTTTGTTGGAGTTTTTGTCTTATTTTTTCTTGTTAATGTGTCTCTTATCTAGAGATGTTGGCGACCACATTAACCCATCTTATTCTATTCACAGCAGCTCGAAATAGATAAGTTGACGTTAGACCAGTGCACTTCCTACGATTGGCCAGCCAGGATATACGTCTACGTCCAGGGCCTCTCTTACTCTCAATCTTGCCTTGTAGAATCAACTGTAAAAGTCGCAATTTATCATTACGTAGGATATGGCGGAAGTAAGCCAATTTTCTATTTTCTATGGTATTATAAATTTCCTTGTCTTTTCTTAGCCTCTGCAGCATATTTATGTTACTTCTGTGGTGTATATATGAGACCATCAACATATGTCGGTAGCACCACATTTTAAGTGCCTCTAATCGTTTTATGGCACCTTGTGTAACTCTCCAGCTTTCTACTCACAGAGAAGGACATTAAGGACGTAACTTTTAAGAATTCTTATGCGTATATTGATCCTCCTCCTCCTAAGTGCCTTCTCTATTGAGGTTGGCGATCAATAGCCAGGATTTCGTCTTTCTTCCTATACCCCTTTTAACCTCGATTTTGCCTTCTAATATTACCTGGAGCTGCTCAAATTCCTGATGGCGCATTATGTGTCCTAGATATGACGTCTTTCTAATTTTGATGGTATTAACCAGATGAGGTAGTGTGTTCATTATTTCCAGTACCTCTTCATTTGTAGTTTTGCTGGTCCATCTTACATTGTTAATGATGATTCCGTTGACTCTGGCACCTTCAGGGCGATCTTCAAGAGAAGCTCTAATGATATTTTCGGCATAGACATTAAATAGAAGAGGGGACAGAATGCAACCTTAACGCACTCCTCGTTCTATCTTTACATAATTGGTATTTCCGTTCTGTTCGTGTCTGTTCGAACACATCCTGTGTGGTTCTAGTATGTATTGCTTATTATAGCTATGTCGTGTCTGTCCAGCCCTACTTCTTTTAGCACCTCAATCAATTTTTCGTGTCTAACGCGGTCGAAGGCCTTTCTATAATCGACAAAGCACACATACAGCTGTTTTTGAACCTCGAGATACCTTTCTGCCATTAGTGTCAATCCCATTATTGCTTCTCTGGTGCCTGTACCTTTCCTAAAACCATATTGAGAACGACTTAGGTATTGATGTCATCTGATTTTATGTGTTTTTTAATCTTTTTAATATCGGAGTAGAAAATCTCAAGATCTGCATCTGTGCTGTCTGCTGTCGGGGCGTATACCTGTATTATATTAATGTCGAATGGTTGTCCATTTAATTTGATGATCATTACTCTGTCGCTGACTGGTAGAAAACCATTCGTTTGTTGTTTCATGGATGCTGTTACCAGCACTCATATACCAGATTGGGCATCTTTGCCTGCATAATAGAATCGGTTTCCATTTATTGTATCCACATATCCTTCTCCTTTCCATCTCACCTTAAACATACCAAGTATGTCCCACTTCATTCGTCTCATCTCGTTTTCAGCGTTTGCTAATTTGCCTGCTCTCTACAATGTCTTAACATTCCACGTAGCAATTTTAAGTTTCCTCCCGGAGATTCTTAGCACCCCTTGACGATTGAACGCCTGCCGGGCACTAGGGGCCATGTATTGATTTTGACTTGCCATATTAACTATCTTGGGAATTTGATGCGACGGTTTCCCGCTTGCCTTTCGCATCCTAAGCCGTTGACGATGCGGTATCGTTCATCCGCCTTCGGGGACAATTTCTCGTCCCCAGGACAAGAGGGTGCCCTTGCGTTATTATTAAGAATAACGTTGAATGCTTATACCGGCAAACACTCGGTCCCCATCTGCGTCAGCCACCTAAGCATATTGATACTTACAGATAAGTTACAGAGAATATTTCTAAGTCTGTTAAAAGAGCTTTTTGCCTTTTGGCTTTTTCAATACGGAGTTTTTATTTTGTAGCTGTGATCCCAAGTATCCATAATATTGCAACCCAAATAGCATATGTTTTTCACTCTTTCTAACGGTGTATCGCATGTTGCAATTTGAGCGTTTATATTGGTGTTCTTACTAATGATAATTATTTTTGTCTTCTTGCAATTTAATTTTAAGCCGTATTTGGTACATGTTTCTACAACGTTATCAATCATCCTTTGGAGCCCCTGCGCACTATCTGCCAGCAAGACTATCGTCTGCATATCTAATATTGTTTATAAGTTGGCCATTTACAGCAATTCTATCTTCTGATTCGCCCAAGGCCTCTTTAAAGATGTTTTCGGGGTATATGTTATAAAATGTTGGTGACAATATGTAACCCTGTCTAACTCCTTTTTCGACTGTAAAAATCTCGGATAGTTCATTTTCTAATCGTACTGTTATTTTTTGTTGGAAATATAAGTTTGAGATCAGTCTTATATCCTTACCATCGAGTCCAGATGTTTTTGAAATATCGATTAGTTTTCCATGTGGGACTTTATCAAATGCCTTCTAGAAATCAACGAAACATGAATTAACAAACACCTTTTTTAAATTACCTCCTGGAAGGTTATATACATGGACATCTCCACAAAATATTAAAGAAAAAATAGTAGGAAATCAAATAGACTACATTATGATAGCAAGGAGGTATCGTATTGCTGTTAAATATAGACGTACCCAGGAGCTGATATAGGCTCAGATCATAACCCGGTAGTTACTGTGATGCAAGCGAAAATAAAAACGATTAGAATACCACACAGAAAGGCACTAGATTTAAATAAACCATACGACAAGAAACAGGAGAAGAAATAAATCAAAACCTCCGTTCAGTACAGCAACAAATTAGCGATACAAATAACGTTAACCAAAAATTAAAGTACATAAATACAGCTATGCAAACAGCAGGAAAGAAACATCTTACAAAAACAACAACAAAGAAGAAATATGAAGAATTACCTAGACAAATACAAAGAAATAAACTAACACATAAAAAAATAAAAGAAGCCAAAGAGGCGTGGATTAAAAAACATTGTGAAGAAATGGAAACCTATGATAAAAAGTAAGATGCGTTCAATATGCACAAAAAAGTAAAAAAGATAACAGAAAGCATAAAGAAATGCCAAACAGGTAAACTTAAAGACAAAGATGGAAATCCTATTGTGGATCTAGAGAATAAAATAAAAAGATGGACAGAATACCTGAATGAATTACTTGAAAACGATACAAACAACTTAACTGGGATAATCAATGCAACTGGGCCAGACATATTAAAAAAAGAAGTATAATACGCAAAAAGAAATGCTGAAAATGGAAAAGCAAATGGACATGATGAAATTCCTACAGAATTGTTGAAGCTTTTGAATGAAAAATCCGTAACCATAATATTATGTATATTCAGTACAATATACAATACTGGTATAATACCTCAAGAATGGTTGTTGTCTACGTTTGCTTAAAATATTTCTTAAAGTCATCCACAACCGAATCTAACAAAAGTTAGATATCGATATTTAAGATACACAGATGGGATTCAGCAAATGATTAGGTACAAAAGAAGCTCTCTTTGCCTTAAATGTTCGAACACAGAGATGTCTAGCTATTAACCAAGAGTATACGCCTGATTTATAGACTTTGAAAAGGCCTTTGACAAAGTTCGCCACAATAAACTCAAAGAAATCCTGGAGGGTAAGAATATCGACACCAGAGACATACAAATAATATTAAATTTGTACTGGAATCAGCGAGTTACCATAAAAATTGAAGACCAAATATTGGACGAAATAGAAATACGTAGAGGAGTACGACAGGGTTGTATATTGTCACCGCTCTTGTTTAATATCTACAGCGAACAAATATGCCAAGAAGCTCTCTCACATGCAAACGAAGGGATAGTAGTCAATGGACAAGTTATCAATAACATTCGATATACTGACGATACTGTGATAATGGCAAGAACAGTGGAAGATCGACAACACGTGGATGCTTGTCACAGCCGACCTTGACTACCGAGGTGGTTCTGCATTCTGGAATAAACTTAGTTAGGAGAGTTCTAACGAAACAAAAAAGTTAGCCACGATCTCATAGCCAATAACGTCATTCTCAACAATCCACAAGATTAGGCCGAAGCCTTTAAAAACACACTACAGGCCACTCTCATCTCCCCTAATAACCTCAAGTTTAGCAACAGATCCAAAAGAGACGCCGAACGGAGAGTGGAAGATATATTTTACTACCCTCAGGCATATGATGGACCACATCTCAACCAATAATGGACCCTGTAACTGAGGACACCGTCAGGCAGATGTATAACATTGGAAAAAACACATACCTTGGCCCTGATGGCATCCACAGAAGATGCTTTAAAAATATTCCACAGAATATTATCCCGTTGCTTACCAATATTATCAATGAATCTCTAACGCTAAGCCACTTTCTTATTCCTTGAAAAGTAGCCAGCACAGTCATGATCCCAAAAAAAGGGAAAATTCATACAAACCCTGAATTGTATAGACCTATTTTACTACTGAGCACCCTAGGTAAAGTCTACGAGAGGATCCTTAAGGAGAGATTCTTAGAATTCCTAGATGCTCACTTCGCAATTCCAGATTACCAATTCGGATTCAGGGCTGGTCACTCCACACAAAATGCATTGGTTGAAGCAACAACCTTCATTTTACAATCAATTAACGAAAGGAAACACGTCAGAGGCATATTTCTAGACGTCAAGAAGGCATTTTATTAGCTCTGGTACACAGGTGCTGATCGAAAAACTCGCTGAATTGCCCACATCTTTCGTTAAAATAATCAATTTCTATCTCTCTCACCAGACGATCAGGATCAAAGTAGCTGACCATTTATCCACCTCCTTTACTTCACAAGCTGGAGTACCCCAGGCCTCAATACTTGCTCCAGTATTATACACACTTTACAACAGTGATATCCCCGCCCACAGCCAAGATCGGAATTGTTAGGAGATGCAATAAATGGGGATTATTTTCAGAAACTTGGTTCTCTACTTGGGAGTTGGGAGTACAAAACATTTGTTAAACCGAACGAAGAGTCCTCAGATATTGAATGAGGAAGGACTGGTCGTATCCATCAGCTCACATATATATATATATTGGCCAACATCACACGAATCAAGAACAAAATCCTATCCCTCAGCAGGAAGTATCAGGAAGATTCATAGCTGGCTCGAACAACAAAGCCAAACGAATACTAAAGTCTCCATGCAATCAAAGAGGGCAAATACTCATCAGGCTTCCCATTAGAAAAGTTCCGTTTCCTCCACCAAAATTCTCCACAATACTGGACATGAACTTCCTAAAGAGTATTTTAATATTTTAGAATCATTCCCCATCCAATATCGCAGGTAGTTAAAAAACTGCTCGCCAAAAACACTGATAAAGGGCCGTTCCTACTGTATAGCTGGTAACCCCTAAAGTACCTAAACTGGCATGCTAGGCAATTCCCACTTCCTCTTGTGCGCTTCTATGTCGTCCACACACACACACACACAAGCCACCTTCTACTTTTCCCTGCTTTTGAGTAGTCCACTACTTTTTAACAATCGGAATTTATGTAATTGACGTTTACCACACCCTCATTCCTTGAATAGGCTCAGGCCTAAACAAAGGTAAAACTCTAGTGTCATGTTTGCAGAATGAGCACTTCTGAATTCATATTGTTGCTTAAATAATTATTTGATTCAAAATATAAATAAATACATTTTTGAAATCAGAGCATCAACAATATTTAAAATTCACTATTTCTCAAGTCATTCATTTTGTCGACTGTTTGTCAAAGCACGTAATTTCAGCTAATCTTTACCACTTACAGCACATGATTTTGGATGACTAATTTCATATTTTCTTTACTAGTCTATAAAACTACTAAAAAATGAGGGTAATAAGATTAAGTAAGATAACTATGATTACGACTCCAAACCTGCAATAAGACGTATCATGAATATGAAGAACCAAATTTAAAATACCATAAAAATTTACCTCACCGGTAGGATAATTTAGTAATACTAGTCTTTGCAGATAATAATAAAATAATACTTACGGAGATTGTTCCACTTTAACATCATTTACGGTTTGAGTGCTAAAGTGAAATGCACCTGTTGGACGAATGTTCCAAAATTTTGTACTTATAGTCCTTAACATATTTTCTTCTAAATGTATATTGTTATAGCTATTATTTGTATGTACTAAAAGTATGTGTTTCTTAATTTAGTGTTTCAAATATAAACTTACTAGATATCAGTAAAAATTTCAATATGATTGACAGCTTGTCTAAATTATCTGTAACTATACCCAATTATATAATTTTTGTAACGATAATGTCTGAACAGCAATTTTATTCAAACAAAACGATAAGTATTGTATTTTTTTTTGCTTTAAATCTATTTTTCGAGAGATATCCATTTTGTTGTCGACTGATTTATTTTAGTTTTTGCGTTTGTTTTAATGAAATCTAGAACTTTGACAGCTCTCCGAGGATATGAGATTTAAATGTTTTGAATTAGTAACTTACACTCCTTCAATAGCTTTATCTTGTTATTATCATTTTAAATAAAGTTTTTAACTGCGAAAGCAAATCGAAGATATATTCAAGGTAGACCAGTGTCGAAGCCTTTAAAAAAGGTAAAAAGTAAAAAAACAATTATAGTAGAATGAAATCTATTGGAAAAGGAAGAGAATATGCTAAAAATGAAAGAAAAAATAAGTTCCACTCCATCCGAGGTCGGGAAATGGGAGGGGGTGAATTTTTAAGGGTAAAAATCGGTTTATCGCGATTTTTCGGAGAAACTACAAGTGATATGGAAAAAAGTTAAACAGCAAAGTTGTAGACAATAAAAAGATCTGCAACTTTTGTATTTACATTTTTTTCACATAACTTCAAAATTTTTGTGGAAAATTAAAAAAACTAAGTTTTTGATTTTTTATTTTTATCTTTTACAAAAGAAAATTATTTTTTTTTATAAAATCTGGTGAAAACTTGCCCTAGTGTGTACCAAACACACTGTAATTTTTTGAAATTGAAAAATTAATTTTTTTACCTGATATTGATTTAATATCGAAAAAGCAACCTAATTTTCAATCGAAAGTTCACGCATCAAAATATCAGCTTTTGTAAAAAAAGTCGGTGAGATTTTTGTTTGTTGAAATCTCTACTTTCCGATAGTGTAAAAAAATACATTACTATGGGAAATGTTCTCAAAAAACGCAAAAAACGAAGAAAACTAGAATCGATTTTTTTTATGATGTACAACTTTTGAGATATTTATTCAAATTAATACTGTAATTACTTATGTTGCGTAAGATTTTATGGTATATTGACAAATAAAAATTATCAATTGGAACATTTTGCTAAAAATTTGTGAAGTTTGGCTAACATTTAAAAAAAAAATGCAAATAAACAAGATATCGCAAAAAATGGAATACAATTAATCAAATCTATTTATAAGTGCAAAAATGATAAGCTAACGCTGAATTAATTACGATTTCGAAAATATCAATTGGCAAAAATCAAATTATCGTTCGTATTGGCAAATTTTCCACCCACAGAAGGTGCAGCAGAACAACATTGTTACAGGGCATATTATCAGCTTCAAACATGGCTGGGCAACGAACAGCAAGCAACAGATTGGGACTGGAAACAACATTAACAAGGCATTATGCCCAAATTTACAGAAAATGAATTGATCTCGGAAATACTGCTAAAACTATTTGCTGCAGCTGTGAAACTGGATGTAACCATTTATAATGTGGTTGCCAAAAACATGCTTTGAAATGCACAAATTTATGTTTAAGTGGTCACGGCTCAGAAAAATGCTCTAATGTGGAAGAAAAAGCCTACGAAGAAATTAATGATAATGATTCTGATGAAATTGTGGACGACAAAGTAACGCAGACAGGAACAATATTGGAGATGAAGACGGTGATGTTCTTGAAGATTTCGAAGATCTTCTAAAATCAGAAGCCGACGAAGGAATGCCATCAAAGAGGCAAAAATTAATGCCCTAAAAAATAGTGTGATAAATATATGAGAAATATTATATATATATATATATATATATATATATATATATATATATATATATATATATATATATATATATATATATAAATATATATATTATATATATATATATAATATATATATATATATATATATTATATATATATATATATAATATATATATATTATATATATATATATATATATATATATATATATATATATATATATATATATATATATATATATATATATATATATATATATATATAGAAAAGAAATTTAATCTTTGCAGATAAGTTAAATAGTAAACTCTTAAATATTGGGGAAATTTGCAGATTTCCCTAATATTTAAGAATTTTCTATATACATATATATATATATATATATATATATATATATATATATATAGGACAAACAGATATTGTAAAATATGTATATATATGTGACTTACCAAAACGTAAAACGTGACACAGACATTAACGAACTGACATATAAAAGTTGATATCTGATATCTTATTGTTTACTGTCATTAGTATATAATTATTTTTACATGGGCGTATCGTTGATGTTTTTGAAAAAGGTAAGGTGGAGATATGTTATGACTTTAAGAGCTTTTTATGAAACTCTTAAAGTCAAAACATATTTGCGCTCACAAAACATGAAAGCGGGAAGAAGCATAAATTTGACTTTGAAAACATTAAAATTTTAAAAACAGAAAAAAACAAAAAGAAGAGGGAGATATCGAATCAATAGAAATAAAAAGAAACACCAATGCAATAAATGACAAAAAAGATACACAAAACCTAAATAAAATATATTTCAATCTGATTTAAACAATAATAATATAACATCATAAAAAGCTCTTAAAGTCATAACATATCTCTACCTTACCTTTTTCAAAAACATCAACGATACGCCCATATAAAAATAATTATATACTAATGACAGTAAACAATGAGATATCAGATATCAACTTTTATATGTCAGTTCGTTAATGTCTGTCTCACGTTTTACGTTTTGGTAAGTCACATATTATACACATATTTTACAATATCTGTTTGTCCTTATATATATACATATTTTAGAATCTTGACAAAGGCAAGGGTTTCCTGCCGAAACGTTGGTTGATTGCAATGGAAAATAAAATCTAGTTCCACATGTAACATATCTTTATTGAACCTAAACCCAAGAAACATTAATTTTATATTATATATATATTGTTATGCTATATAAATTGTATTCTATTGCTTATTTAGAAAAGATCCTGTCTATATTTATTAAATGATCTAATCTCCAATTAATCACAATAAATCAGCATTAATTAATTACAATCTCAGGCTATTTAACTTGTACTATTTACCTTTGATCGTGGATTCAAAATATTTTCCAATTGGCTTCCTAATTGGGATAGGTAATATGACCTGAATAAAATACACAGAATTTCAACTGAACTATATGTGAGATGTCCTTTATTTTAATGAAATTTTATATAACAATCAATCCTGTAATATTTGCAATATAATACTTTAAATATATGAGAAGTTGTTTTCTATCATGGACCCAAATGTTATTTTACATTGATTTTTAATATGTGTTATAACTAAGCTCTCTTTATAATTTTTTCTTTTTTTAAATGATCGCAAAATTAACTGTCTCTATAATTTATTCAATTTATTTAATTTATAAATGAAAACCACACTCCTGCTCTAATGAAAATTGACTGACCTTTCGTTCTGTGCCGTTGCAATTCTATGGCCACGCCATAAAAAAAAACCTTTCTCTGCTTCTGCTCCTATTGTGGTCCAGATGACGTACACCTTTCTCCTATCTGTCCTTGTATTTGCAACCCAACAACTCGTGTAATTCTATGCAGCCTCCTTTTGAGCCAATCTCCGCGCCTGTTTATAACTTCAAATGTTTCCGGCTTCGTCTGATATTAATATTCTTATACCCTTTGGTTTTTTCTATCTCTCTGTACCCCGTTCCTCACACTGATCAGCTTTTACACAGCAAATAAACACACCCGGTAAATTACGTCTTCGGGACTTCAAAACAAACACAAACCACAAAGCTCCTTCCTTCTTGGGCGACGAAAACTGACTAACTAACTTTTTTCCTCTCTCCTATCTCATAGCCAAAACCACTACCTCCATTGCATTCAAAAATTGACCAATAAAAATCATCCACCTCTGTGACGTATATCGTTACCAACCAACTCTCTTTATAAAACGTCATTCGGGTAATTCCAGAAAACAACATTCTTTAATTATTCTAACTAAATCTATCTGCTTTACAAATATTTCTTACTAATAGCTACAAACGATACCTGTTTCTCAATTCAATGTCTTTTGTTAATAAACTTTTACCGATATAATCTTTCGGGGAGAAAAACCACCGCAAATTCCGGTCTATTGTTTAAACACTGTCTATATACACTTTTATTCTGGGTAAATCCATTCCACAATAACCGACTTATTTAAATTTCTTATCGATAATATTTGAAAGTCTTGTCTCTGAGGCCTAATGAACAATTCTTCGAACAACTTAAAATACATATTTTGTCTTATACAGGATGTTTGAAAATTTATATGCCCGTGTCTTTATGAAATATCAATAATTTTAATTTTTATTTAAGTAATAAAATTTGTATATCGGTTTTTATTGCTAATGGACATTCAAAAGTACAACAATATATATATATATATATATATATATATATATATATATATATATAGTAAGGTTAACCATGATAAAAACGTAATTAAACATTAATAAACCAGCTGTTTAATTGTAAAAAAAAGTCGTATGGCAGTCACATTTTTTTGATGAAATTCCCTTTAAATCCTATCTTGAATATTTTTAACAGTTATTTTCACACGTCTTTTTGCAATCCTAATGTTTTGTGGATTTATAATTTTTTGTTTATATGAAATCTTCAACTTCTTTTTTCTATAGAAAATAGAAATTAAGAAGAAGAATAAAAATTAAGAAAATAGTTATAGAAAAAGTTGAAGAATATATATACTTAGGACAAAAAATAATCCTAAATAGGGAAATTCAAACGGAAGAAATAAAAAGAAGAAGAAAGTTAACTTGGGCAGCATTCGGTAAACTGAACTATATACTCAGAAATCAACAAATTCAATTACATCTTAGATCTAAGTTTTTGATGCATGCATTATTCCGATATTATCTTATGCGGCACAAACATGGATAATCACAAAAAAGAATATGAATATACTTAGAGTCACTCAACACGCGATGGAAAGAGCAATGCTAGGTATATCACTGAAGGACAAGAAAACAAACACATGGATAAGACAGAAAACCAAAGTCACCGATGTGGTGCAAAAATCATTAAAGTTGAAATGGGAATACGCTGGACATGTAGCTAGGAGCGATCTAAACAAATGGCACAGATCAATTTTAACCTGGAGACCATACCTACACAAAAGACCCAGAGGCAGACCTCCTATGAGATGGACAGATGATCTGAAAAGGACTGCCGGGAAAAATTGGCTACAAGTAGCGTACAATAAAAAACAATGGAAAGGAAGACTTGAAAGGCTTATGTTCAGATGTGGACGTGAATGGCTAGACGAAGAAGAAGAAGATGAAATCTTATGCTTCATGACTAATAACATTATTAATTATAAGAAATATCTTAAACTTGTACATAATGATGAAAAAAAGTTTTCGATTGGAATTTTAATATTGTGTTTTTTGCTAGTAATCTATTTTTCGAGAGATATCCATTTTGTTGTCGTCTAATTTAATAAAAATACTGCATATATTCTAGTTCTGGCGTTTGTTTTAATAAAATCTCAAATTTTGACAGGTTTAGGTATTTTTTTGGACCATCTATACCATACTATATATGTCTTAATATTTTGTTTTTGAAAAAAATTTGTTATTATATTTTATTAATTATGTATACTCTTAATATAAATTGTCAAAATAAAGTATTTACGAACTTAATTCTCGTAATTTTAGGTCAATTATTTCACATTCATTCAACTTACAGCATGTGTTTCTAAGCCGAATAAAGGGCATTTACCCTCAGGTGAAATCCCTTTCATTCCTCATCGGCTAAAAATAAGATCAACTATTGAAAATAGCTCAACATAGAGAAAGAACGTCAAGGGGACTTTATAAGACTCGTTCAGAAGAATACACTTATCTTATTTCTATGAAAGCTACTGGTATCATCCCTGTCATCATCAATCAATTATATTGTATTGCCTTACGTCGTTTTTTAATATTTTGTGTTATATGAATCAGACTTCTTCTTCTTAGCCTTCTGTCGTCCATGTTTTTACATAGGCCTCTCCCAACTCCTTCCATCGGTCTCTATCCTGAGCAACATATTTCCAACTTGTTCCGGCTATTCTTTTATTGTCATCAACCCATCTCATCTGTGGTCTTCTTCTTGGTCGTTTACTTTCGTAAGGTCTCCAATGTTGTATTGTAATATTCCAACGTTGGTCTTTCTGTCTAGCAGTGTGGCCCGCGAAGCTCCATTTAAGTTTAACAATTTTTGTTGTTATGTCCTCGACTTTTGTTTTGGATCTTACCATTCGTTCCTCTTTTTATCTGACAGTCGTATACCTAACATTGCTCTTTCCATTGTTCTTTCTGTTGTGGCTAGTTTATTCATGTTTGCCTTGGTTAGGGTCCAGATTTGACATCCATATGTCATGATAGGAAGGATGCATTGGTTGAACACTTTGCTCCTCAAGTATTGGGGTATTTTGCGGTTCTTAAATATCCAACTAAGTTTTCCAAATCTTGCCCATGCTAGTATAGATCTTCTAGTAATTTCCGCACTTTGTTTCCCTTTGTTAAGTCTCAGGATTTGGCCTAGGTAGATATATTCCTGGATTTGTTCTATCTCACTGCCGTTTATAGTTATATGTCTGGGGGGTCATGTGTGTTTGTCATTATTTTTGTTTTTTTTTTCATATTCATTTTTAGGTCGACGTATTGGGAGCTGCCTGCTAGTTCCCCCAACATAATTTGCAGTTCCTCGAATGTGCTCGCAGTCGAGGATGGGTCAGACAGTCAAGGAAAAAGAAGCCATAATAATTCGGAAACATTATTCATTGTGGCAATTACGGTCCTGTGTTTAGCATTTGATTATAACATGTTGGAATAAGTACACTTTTTTAGTTTAATTTTTAATTATACTAAACTCTTAGAGCACCTGTCATACAAAAATTTAAAAAATTGAAATACAACTCCTTGGGTAACATTTTTGGCAAATTATTATGAATATCTAAATAAGTACGATTGTAAAAATCCTCCCTATATTTTGCAAAAACTTCATCCAGTTTTAGTTCTTTGAATAACTCGTAACATTTGCGAACTGATTCTTTATTTACTTTGCCATAATGTTCTTCAAGTATCCTCTTCTGAGTCGAGTTACCTCTTTGATAAGCTTGAACTGCTAGCCATGAAGGTCTTCCTTCCGAAATGTCCGTACACGACTTCTCTATATCAGAATTTGGATTAAATACTCCATTAAAATCATCCTACAATGTAAAAAAATTTAATAAACAATGGTTAATAAGAAAAAGAGGTAGTGGTTTAAGCACTTTAAAAAATTAAGAAAGGAAAATTAGTTGAAAATAAAAATTTGTATAAAACTACTATAAGACAAGCTATGGCGTATGGAACTATTAAATGATGTTAAAATAACCTTTTATTTCAAAAATGCATGTACAAGTTAACCTTAGCAAAACACAGCCTTTTACCCTCTTCCTTCTTCTTCTGGTGCCGTCTCCAAACTACTGTATATGTACCATTCAACAATATACAGTAGTTTCAAACATGTTCTACCATCCATCTATTAATAGAGTACCGCCATGTAAGTAATTTTATTTTATTTATTTATTTGCTCATTTATTAATTTATTACAATAGAAGAGATTTTATGACAATTTGTGGGCCTTACCTTGTCCTTTTAACTTTCTTAAAAAATATTTATACCTTTTATTCAACTCAATCATTTAAATAAAACCACAGACAGGTAATATTGGCATAATTATTGTAATTTATAACATCTAATTTGTTTATCTTTATTAGACAACACCCTAATATGGGTTTTTATCATTTCAGCATTTGTTTAACTTTGTATCGAGACCTGAAGATGCTTTGCATATTGTAGAAAGCGAAACCGGTCGTCTGATAGTTAAATTAAATTGATTGTGAGTAAGTCTTATTTATTATTTCTTTACCTATTTAACTTACGAAGATTTTTTAACCAGGAAATTTTTTGCCTTCCTGGTCCAAGTTCATCTTTTACTTTTTCTTGTAGAATTAATTTCAACAACTCATATCTTTCGCTGTTTCTTATACTGTGAGAAGTCTCAGTTTTTTTGCAGGTAGCATCTGTGGGAGTCCACGACTTACCTCCGTAGAACAGTATAGAACAGATGTAACATCGACTTAAATTGATTTTTATTTGTACTGATAAATCATGGCATTTGAATAGGTTATATAAAATAGCCATTTTTTGAAATGGAGATCTTTCTTTCTCTCTCCTACATTTGATTTCTAGGAAATGGTCCTAATTTTCATTATCGTTCGTACCAAGATAGGTGTATGTTTTTACTTTTTCTATTGGTTAATCATTCACACTGATTCTTTCAGTTTGCAGTTCCTTCTTAGAAATCATAGTCCATTTTGTTTTCCTAATGTTCAGTGAAAGTCCATATCGCTGACTCACTTCAGTGATTCTATTTATTAACTACTGAACGGGTTTATAACTGTCAGCGAATATCACCGTGTCATTCGCGTATCTGATGTAATTAATACATTCTGCGTTAATTTGAATTCCGTCTTCTCCGATAGAATAGCAAATTATACCAGAAGTTTAGGAGCACCAATTTCTTTGAGTGGGCACGTTAAAATTATTTTGTAAAATTAGCCCTATAGATCACAGAAAATCTTTTCAACAAAAAAATGTTATCGCATAAAATCTTACCTCAATTTTTAAGAAATGTGCCATTTCAACCAAAAATTGATTTGAAAAATTGTGTGCATCCGTATCGTCGATATTAGCTAAATATAGGGATGTTCTCAATATAGGAAACGTAAAGGCAAAACCCTTCCAGGAATAAGTATACTTTTCTAGGTCCTTAATGTTGTATTTTGTTAATTCTAAACGTTGAGATATATTGGTTACAGCATATGACATCAACATTTGTTTTAAGATGTCAGCAAAAAACGGATGAGATCTGAGATTATTTATTAAAAGGTACCATATTGCTGATTCTACAAATGCTGCATCTAAAATCGCCTTTCCTGGTCCAACACCTTTAATAGAATGCCAGGCTGGTTTATTGTACCTCAAATCTGAAAAATCAGCAATGTCGTCGTCCATTATTAGAGTAGCATCTACCTGTAAAATAGATGTTGTAGTAATTCATATAAACAATATGTAAATAGGGTAAATGCACCAGTTGTTGGCTATGTGTTAGTTATTGGCCTACTAATATGTTTTGATTAGAATTAAGAAAATGTTGGTATTTTGTTAATTCTAACTACTTATTGTAAGTTTGGCAACATGCCTCCTAGAGAATGACACATCTAGTTTTAAGGTAACCATTACATTTTAGTCAGTATTCGATGTTGAATAAGACACTGTTCTGTGCCGCTAGTTTGCAACCGAAATTTTGATATTTACCTACAGAAACTTGTGTCGATCGGTAAGTACTATATACTGCAATTTACTTACTACTTTATACTTTTTGTTTTTGTGAGAATATAGTGTATATCCTGTTCCAAACTGCATAACGAATATAACATTGTTTATACAAATAACGTAAATGTTAAGGTGGCCAACTACTAATGCATGAAATTATCATTGTATCAGTTATGGGCCGAGATTGCCAATAACTAAAACATTAGATTTTGTAAAAATCTAGTGTAACTAATTATTATAAATTGTTTTAGAAAATATGCCAAAACGATCTAAAACTGAAAACAATTATAAAAAAAGTATTTCGAAGACGATGTTAAAAAACGTTAGAGTTAATTAAAAATTGTATGAGTGAGCGAGAAGCCTCAAGAATATTTAATATTCCCAGAGCCACTATAAGTTACCGGAAAAGTGAAAAATTTTATTACAAGATAATCCATGGACATTTCTTTCGAAGGATGAAGAGGAACAACTGAAACTCTTGTAGAGTAAATAGACTGGCAAAAGGCTTCTAGAATAGATTTTGGTGGGCACTTTGTTGCTAAAATGTAAAACCTATTTTTTTTTCGTTTCTAATATCTTTCTAATGCAAAATCACTTGGTCGTCCAAAAATCGTAGCGGGAGGGGAGTGGTGGGGAGCCTTACAAAAAAAAGTGCTAATTTTTTTTTCGTTATTTTTCGGATCTACGATAACCGAAAATTCATTTCTTAAATTTGTATGTTGATCTGGACATTAGAAATATTTTTATTTTATTTATAAAAATACGTCAAACCATTGTTGTATATGGAGCGCCTTCATACAAAATCACTTGTTCTGAAAACCCATATTTTTAAAATCTTTTACCTCGCTCTAACTCGAAAAATATTGGGTTTAGCAAAAAATTACTTTCTATAAACATTATAGACCAAAAATCAAAGAACACGTGGGTTTTTTTAGAATTTCGATTGGATACTTAGTTTAAGAAAGAATTAAATAAATCGAACGGCATGTCAGAACGGACAGTGCTGAACGCCGAGATGCGAGGAAGGGCGAGATTTCTAATCTGAAGTCATAGCAAATCGACTCTAGTGATGGCGATGTTGTTAAGGTCGATTTTACATTGAAACGCTGTTGTGTTGTATATTCTATTGCGAAAGTGCATCATTGTGCATTATTTTATACTAATAGCGCGAAATCCACTGAGCTGAGATTTTTTATATTAAAAGTTTTAAATTATTAAAAGTTATTAATTAGCTTATTGCTATAATAAAAATATTAAATATCTACTTAATATTAAAGTAAATATTTTTTTCATCTAGAAACGGATTTAACGAAAAGCAGCAGGTCTGACAGTGAACTTGAGTCAAAAATCAGATTAAGGCATGTTTTTTCCATAAAGTCCATTTCCTTTTCAGTTTGTTGAAGGACGCGGAAACTGGAGAATACATTTTTGTTCTAGTTTTCGAAAAATGCATCCTTACTTCTTTGCATTTGGCCATGTGAACTATTCTTTTTGGGGAACATTATATTTGTTGGACATGTACAAATTTGCTGATAAGTAAAGCTCGGATTTATAGGCAACAAAAATTGAAGAAAAAGGCGCCTATATAGGCAAAGATTTTTATTAAAAAAGGCAGGAATATTAACATTTAGGCAAAATATAGGCAATAAAGGAATATAACTTATTATTTATTGTACAAAGTAAATTAACGTAATATTAACTTAAGGCAAGTATATTTACACATCATAATCATAACATTAGTATAAATAAACTAGTAACTAAATAACTGTTAATTAATAATTAAACATTGTAACCACTTAAAATTTTATCATTAATAGAAACAACTAAATGTTTTTCAATATTTTCGGTCTTAAAACTATGTCTTCGATCACTTAAAATTAATTTGTACATTGAAAACGAACGTTCGACATCGACAGATGTAATTGGAGCATATTTCAGAGCGGATAATAAATCTGGCATAATTTGAAATTCCTCGGAAAATGTCCCATTCAAAACTTTAGCAACATTAGATAAAAACGAAAAACCTTCATTCTTGTCGAAAACATATTTCATTTTTTTAAAAATTAATTGACCGTTACTTCCAGGTGCCGATTTAATTTTCGTCTTTAAATTATCTATTAATTTTACTGACTCATAAATTTATCTCTTGTTTTTCTAATAAGGTAATTGTGGTAACTATTAATTTATAATTGTCATTGATATAACCGAGTTCCTGTTTCAATTTGGGATTTTTTAATATTTTTTTTGCTTCTCGAATGGCTTCGGAAATATCATCATCAAATTCTGACATAACTAATTCTATTTCATTGCAGTGTTCAAAGTAAAAAAAGACTGCTTCGAGCCAGGTTCCCCACCTTGTAATTACTGGTTTAGGTGGCAAAGGGACACCGGGAAGTCTTTCTTTATATATTTGCACCCTCAACGGAGCCTTTACAAAAACTTTTTTCATAAAATTTATAAAATTATTTACCAACGGAAACAGATTTCTTATTTCTTCAGCAATTCTATTTACCCCGTGGGCTACACAAGTGCAATGAATTAAATTAGGATAAAAAATTTTTAAATTAACAGCAGCTTTTAACATATATGCCGCAGCATCTGAAAGCATTAAAACTATTTTATTCACTGGTATAGCGTTGGGTAAAAAGAGGTTTGTTAAACTATCTTGTATAAATCGACTTATTGTTAAATTGTTTGTTTTTTCCAATTCTTTAACGGCAACTAAATAAGGTTTTCTCGCAAAGTTTTCGTTCAAAATTCCAATCATTAAATTAGCTATATACCTGCCGCATACATCTGTCGTTTCATCCACGATAATATACAAAAAATTGCCCTCCAACTCGTGCTTAATTTTTGAAATACATTCCACATAACATTTTTCCACAGTATGTTTTCTCAATGTACTCTCGTCCGGTAAGGATTTATTAAGATATTTTTCAAAAAAGCGTTTAAAACTAGGGTTATTAACTTTATATAGAGGAATGTTGGATGCAATCATCATCTGGCATAAATCAAATTTAAATGCGTCTTCCTCCTTTTTTTTTGAACTGCTTAAACTATCCCGCAGAGATGTTTGGGCTAACTTAGAGGAATTTAATTTTTCCAAATTACGTTTATGAAGTGGGGTTCCACAATGCTGGTCAATAAAGTACTTTTTTCTACTTGAAATCTGAGAATTAAAAAAAAATAATTAGAATTCTAAAACCGCTTTAGAATTTAGTTATGTTGTGGGACGAGAAAAAAAGAAAAAAAAAATAAAACTTACCGATTTGCCGCATGGTTTACAAAATGCTCCATCTCCTTCTAGAGAAAGTTCCGAATAAGGTGCGATCCATAGCCTTAATTTAGATGTCATCTTTTCACACAACTGTCTTGAACGTTTTAAAACGTGTTCTTTGCTTTTCGGTATACGCAACAAAACTAAACTAGGATATAGCAATTTGCTAATTTGTGAGTAAACTCTGATACAGTAACCGACTGTACAACTGATAATAAACTAATAAAGCTTAGGGATTTCCAAATAGTTAACCCTCAAGTCTCGATCAGGTACATTTTCCTAGAAATCTATTATATAAACAAACCATTGATATTTTATTATTGACCCAAAATTTTATTATAGAATGGTTTAGTAATAGAATAATATCATGGGTAATACCATGAAATTTTAAAAAAGGCACAAATAGGCGGAATTTACGAAAAAAGGCAAAAAGTGCAAAAAACACTTATAATAGGCAAAAAAAGGCATTTTGCCTATAATCCGAGCTTTACTGATAAGTATCCAGAATTTCATGAAGACTTTATTAGAGGAAATTTTGTTGTGAAAAGTTTGAACAGAAACTTATTTCTATTCAACAAATAGAAAGTAAACTATTTGTAGATATAGCTTTAAACATATAAATACAAACTCAAAAGATGCAGGAGAAATCGTGTGATATACTAAAACCAGCACAAAACTAGACGAATGGTTTTTAAGCTACAATATGATTGGCATAAATTATCTTATTCTAAGTCAGACTCTTCAGTATTCTCAGAACTAACATCTTCTACGGTTAAAATTGTTTCACGTATAGTACCTTTATTGCCACATTTCGCCTGGGCCACACATTTACAAGAACCAATGCATTTGATCTGCTTCCTTTTACACGAGCATTGGGCCCTGTACAGTCTGAAAAGTATTAAAAAAAAGCTAATATAATTATTCTTCACATAAAAAGGCAAAAGTTGATTCACCTTTTTTAAATTTACAACTATTCAGAATATATGTATCTTTCGTCAACATGGGTTCCGTGTTTAAAACTGGTACCAGCGCTCCATTTTGTTTACTCCAGCCACTTAGCAACGGATTTGGCAGACATGGTCTTGGTGTCGCACTACATAGCCATATTTTCGTCTGGAAGTGTATACGAAGGCAGTGTTGCCTCAGACTGTCTAAAGTAGGAGGCAGTTTATGAATAGGTTTCGTAGTGGCCAAAATACCTCTTAGAGTATTAATACTGTTACGATTTTAAATGTTATGGCATATAGAACTGTAAATATTTTATGACTAATTCTTTTTTATTGATTCTCGTAATTTGTAGGTCAAAATATACCTGAGCTTCGCTACCAGTTGTTTACAGAAATCTCTAGACACTAATTTTAGTGAGTCATCCACGTCTCGAGGTTGAAAAACGAGTCGAGCGCCTTCACCAAAATACGAG